CTCTTGTATTTCTGTACTACCCCTCCCCCTAATCAATGATCAATGGTATCAAATGGTATATTGGTTTTTTTTTAGTTACTGGATGGGCCCCTCCCAGCTTTGTCCAAAATGTCCCCTTTTACTAAACTACAAACTGAAATGTTTAATTTACCTTAGAACTAAAGATTTAATCAAACCTAGCTAGCAGGGTGGACATTGATTAAAATAAGTAATAATAAAATAGGACATAATTAATTAAAGTCTATTTGTTTCATTTGACTTTAGGGAGGCACTCTAAGCCACCTACTGGCCATCTTCGGGAGTTACATTGATAATACATTGTTTATAACAGATAGATGTAGGATTGTTTACCCTATTTTAATATATTTATTGCTATAAGGTTTTATTTTATGTATAAATATATTAAAAGTTGAGTTTTCTTATTAGACCCATAAAGATTATTTTGATACAATTACCCTCTGGTGACACCTACTGGTAGGTTTTTGGTTTAACACTTTAAAAAAAACAAAACGTTTTTTCATCCACCAAATGCTGACTAATAAAATTATCTTACTACTCCTAGACTGGAACCTATTATTGGGCAGCCTTGCCGAAGTCCCATATTAGACACCGCTTGAGTCAAATAGGTTGTATACTCCCTTTAATCCAGAGGCCCCTGAAAACTTCCGAATGATAGACTCAGCATTTGTCAGCCAGGCCCAAGGTGATAGTAAAAGGAAATTACAGAAATTAGAGGGATTTGTAGGGATGTCCATAATACAGCTAATGGAGATTGCAAATACAGTATATATGAATAGGGAGATGGAGGAAGAACGTAAAATGAGGAAAAAGGAAGATATGCTAGCGGTAGCTATCTTAAGTGTAGAAAGACAGGGAAGTGAATAGAGGAGACGAGAATAGGCTGAGCAAGGGACTTTAAGTAGGAATTAATGTGCGTATTGTAGAAAGGAGGGACATTGGAAGAGTGAGTGTCCACAGAGAGAGCAGTATGAAGGTGATAGACAAGGAGAGAGAAGGGTACGAGGAGGTTATAGTGGTAGTTATAGAGTAAGAGGAAGTTTTAGAGGGAATGGTGGGAATAGTAGAGGAAGTGTTCACGGAGACAGATACTATCCACCCATGCAGAGACCTAGAGAAAGAGAGGATAGAGATTTTGTGGGTCTGGCTGACACTATCATGGAAGACTATTGATACCGACTGGGCTCCATCCCACTTGGTCGAGCGGAGCCTATGGTCGATGTAGCAATAGGGGGAAAGAGAAGTTCTTTCATGATCGACACAGGTGCTGAACATTCTGTGGTGAAGCATTAGTTCCTATATATGCCAGAGTGTCCGATTCAACTTTTAGGACGAGATCTATTATCGAAGCTTTAAACTCAGATAACCTTTTACCTAATGGATTAACATCTCTGAAGTTTAAGGGATTACCAGGCATAATGGTGATATCGGTGCCGAGGGAAGAAGAATGACGCTTCTATTCCATAGTGACAAGTGTTAACCCTAAGAGTGATGAATCCTTACTTGACATTCCAGGAGTATGGGAAGAAAATAATCCTCCAGGACTTGCTCGTAATATCCCACCAATACATAATGAGTTAAAGCTCGGGGTGTATTCTGTTAGCCTTTGTATGTTGTTCTTTTATCTACCCCAACAGCTGTAAAGGTGGCGGAAGTGACTCCTTGGATTCATCATTCTAAGGTTAAACCAGCAGCAGACTCTTGGCAAGCTACTCCAGATCCTGAGAATCCTTGCAGGACCCGGTTGAAGCGTGCAACTTAGTCGGAGTGACGAGGGGATATCGAGACATTCTAATTAAAAGTCTACAAAGATCATCAAGTAGGTGTTTTGACGGCCATAATAAAGCCTGACCACCTGCCTACGTGTCATAGCCAGAGTATCTTGAAGGGATCTCTGTGAAGGAAAGTGAGGATCAGAAGAACAACATCCTTGCAGCCCTCACAATCGGGAAGCTGAGAGGCCATCGCACGGTTGAAGAAAAATGAGGATTTCAGGAATAATGTGTTTTATTGTGTCTTAGTATTTTTATGATTTTTCAGGAAGGTAGGAGTACAGACATACCGAATTGCGATAGTTGCATTAAGACTACTAAAACAGGTAACCAAATATCCCAAACTTTCATCTGGCACTCACAGTATGAATGTAAGGGATCTGTATCTAAATGTAGATATTTGGATATTGATTATAGTGTGTGCAAGCCAATATCAGGAGAGTCTAAATGTTTTGATCCCCATTTCCAACCCCGTACAATTTGGTTGGTAATTCGGAATAGTAACTCCCAGGGGACATTAATAAATAGGACTGTGATAAGCACCATACATTCCGCGGGTATTCTACTATTTGATGCATGTAAGGCGATTTCGGGTAGTGGAAGACTTTGGAATGTATGTGGTAATCTTAAATGGGAACGAACTTATGGGTTTAATGATAAATACTTATGTCCCAGTAAAAGATCTACTGATCCTGATTGCCCAAATAGAGACTAACTTCTGCCCCTATTGGTCATGTGTAGGTTGGGCAACCTGGGAAAAACAGTGGATCAAGATATGATTATCCAAAGGTTGCCTACCACACCATACTGTAAAACTATGTGTGTAACCCCGTTCACATGACCATTTCCAATCTGCAGTACTTTATTGACAGGTTTGGAGGTCTGTTTGGGTCCAAATATATGGCACAGGAGTAAATTCAGGAACAATAATATATGTAGGTCTTGAAACTGAGACAGTGGCAACTCAAACTCATCAGGTTTCTCATTCCTTCTATGAGGAGATGAGTATTGAGGATAAAATTCCCCATAATGTTAACAACCTATTTATTGATTTGGCTGAGGGTATTGCAGGTAGTCTTAATGTAACTAATTGCTATGTGTGTGGAGGTACTAATATGGGAGACCAGTGGCCATGGGAGGCAAAGGAAATATGGTACCCTGGCTCTGAGACATATGAACAACAGATACCTTTCCAGTCTGATCATCAAGTAAGTACTAGAAGTAAATTGGAATGGTGGTTAAAACCTCCATTATAGGTCATGTTTGTATAGCCAGGAAAGGGACAATGTATAACACGTCTGTAGGTGAGCTAACTTGCTTGGGACAAAAAGCCTATAATGTTAATACTAAAAATACTACTTGGTGGTCAGCTTCAAATGTCTCAGAACCATCTAACCCGTTTGCAAGATATGCCAATTTAAAGGACGTATGGTTTGATCTATCCATCACATCTAACTGGAGAGCCCCAGCGAATTTGTACTGGATCTGTGGTAAGAAGGCCTATTCGGAGTTACCACAAGATTGGGAAGGGGCATGTGTATTAGGTATGCCAAAGCCATCTTTCTTCCTGTTGCCTATTGAAACAGGTGAGACTTTAGGTGTTAAAGTGTATGATGTGAATCATAGGAAGAAAAGGGGACCCATAGAGATAGGTGCCTGGGAAGATAATGAATGGCCTCCCCAGCGTATTATAGATTATTATGGGCCAGCCACGTGGGCAGAGGATGGTACCTTTGGTTATAGAACCCCTATTTATATGCTCAACCGCATTATAAGGTTACAGGCGGTGGTTGAGATCATTACTAACGAGACATCACAAGCGCTCAATCTTCTAGCGAAGCATAATACCAGGATGAGGACAGCAGTTTACCAAAATAGATTAGCCTTGGATTATCTTTTGGCAGTAGAGGGAGGTGTATGTGGGAAGTTTAACCTGAGCAATTGCTGTCTTCAAATAGATGACGAAGGGCAAGCAATAGCTGAGCTTACTAGCCATATGGTTAAACTAGCGCATGTGCCTACTCAGGTATGGAAAGGGTACAATCCAAGTAGTTGGTTTGGTAGCTGGTATGAGTGGTTTGGAGGGCTTAAGGCAGTGGTAGGTGGAGTCCTACTGATTTTAATGTTGTGTCTACTCCTGCCGTGTCTTATACCCTTAGTAGTTAGGTCTGTGCAAAGCCTGATAGAAAATATAGCAGAGAGGAAGGCTGCTGCACAGATAATGGCAATTTATAAATATAAGGCTCTAGATCAGGGAGAACCAATGCAGGAAGACGAGTGTTGAAGATTCACATCATAGGATAAGTCTGGTCTGGTTCAAAGGTAACTTGTGGTGTATGCAAACCAAGGTTAAGTGATGCCTCAAGTAATTGTAAAATATCAAGAGGCATCAAAGGGGGGAATGTGATGGGATTCCAGCATGGTTAAAATTTAGTAGGCCAAAATCTCCATGTGGCATATGTGTATGTTGTGTCAGTTGGTTAGCTACATGTAGCTAGGATACTGTCATCAGTGTACTGAGCATGTGCAGGAATGCAGGAACTGAAATTGCACTTATTTCCTTTGTCTTGGATGGGCCATGTGGTTTGACTAGATGTACAAGTCTATATTCTGCTCATTGATTGGTTAAAGGTATATGTGGGTGTAGCTATTAATGGGAGGAGTTATGTGCCTATATAGGGAGCCTGCACTATTGTTCAGGGCTCAGAACTTGCTGTATTTTTGGTGACATTAGTCCCTCTGAGTCCCGATCGGTGATCCAATAAAGAATCTCTTCCTTCCTGAAGAAACCTGTGTCCATCCCTCTGTGCTTTGCTTCCGTCAGTTTCTCCGGTATCAGATTGGGATACTAATGTAATATATTAATCTTTATTATACATATAAAAGAACATAAAGAGTCATGTTAGATTATTATAATAATAAAATTAAAAAAAAAGTTGTAGCACATTTCATTTTCTTTTACAGTGGTCTTATTTCCATAAAAGATGGTTGCAGTGTAAATGTGATATAATGGGTGTCACATACATTTATTATCTATATAACAGTAAGGATCTAATAGCAGGTTTAGGTATAAAGCACATTACTAGTAAAGCCCCCGCAATGAGAGCACTAGCCAGCTCCAGCCCATATTAAGTAAAAGGGAGGAGAAGTGGAAAGGGATTAGCAGCTCGTGACGTAATGGTGACGCGCCGACGTGCTGACGCTGGGCAACACGTCTGTCCCGGAAGTGATGTTAGGCAGGGTGTCTGTGGCTGCCAGCTGCTGGGAAAGGCCTGGGGCTGAACGGTTTTATCGGGAGCCACGGTGAGTGGGACAGAACGGGGGGAGTGCGGACACTGCTTTAACACAGGAGCAGCCATGGTGGGAGAGGAAAGTGTCAGGGCTGTAAACCTCCTGTACCCCACCCTTATAACAACATGCAGCCTCTCAAAGAGCTGCCCCCTAACCACAAACCATAACCACTGCATGGGTACAGACAGGGGACCCACCCCCTAACCACAAACCATAACCACTGCATCTGTACAGACAGGGGACCCACCCCCTAACCACAAACCATAACCACTGCATGGGTACAGACAGGGGACCCACCCACTAACCATAACCACTGCATGGGTACAGACAAGGGACCCACCCCCTAACCACAAACCATAACCACTGCATGGGTACAGACAGGGGACCCACCCACAAACCATAACCACTGCATCTGTACAGACAGGGGACCCACCCCCTAACCACAAACCATAACCACTGCGTGTGTACAGACAGGGGACCCACCCTCTAACCACAAACCATAACCACTGCGTGGGTACAGACAGGGGACCCACCCACTAACCATAACCACTGCGTGGGTACAGACAGGGGACCCACCCACTAACCATAACCACTGCATGGGTACAGACAGGGGACCCACCCCCTAACCACAAACCATAACCACTGCATGGGTACAGACAGGGGACCCACCCTCTAACCACAAACCATAACCACTGCATGGGTACAGACAGGGGACCCACCCTCTAACCACAAACCATAACCACTGCATGGGTACAGACAGGGGACCCCCCCTTACCACAAACCATAACCACTGTGTGGGTACAGACAGGGGATCCCTCCCTGACCACAAACCACAACCACTGTGTGGGTACAGACAGGGGATACTCTCAACCACACACCACAACCACTATGTGGGTACAGACAGGGGATCCCCCCAACCACACACCACAACCACTGTGTGGGTACAGACGGGGGACATCAGTGTTGTCATAATGTTTATGAAGTGTGACATGGCACCATGTACAGGGGCATGACTGTCAAAACTTTATAGAATGTTCTTATTACCTTGCTAACTTTGTCACTGTCCTGAGATAAATGTGTATTAACTACAGTATTCTTACAAGTGGCAGCAGTGCTCTGATGCTTTCTTTGAATACAGGCCAGTCAAAGTCTATTTACATTATGTATTTACATTCTTATGTTGATGTTTGCTTTTGCAAGCATCATATTGCAGTTTCCAACCGATTCAGTTCTCCCCTTCAGACTGCTGTATGGCATTGTGTAAATACACAAGGTTGGTTTTGTGTTGTATTATGAAACAGGAATATGTGGTCATTACTTTTAACAGTTACACGTAAATACATCGACTCAGCATCTGAAGTAAAGTTTAAACTGAGGCTATTTCTTTCTTAAACTGAGGCTGTTTTATTCTGTGCTAAACCAAGCTGAGTTGCTTGTAACTGCTGTTTATGTACATCTCTGTGCAATGAGTGACAAGCCAACTTATTAGGTGTGATATTGGATGCTTTACTGTGCCCAAGAGTTTGCTATAGCTCAGTAAAAAAAGCACGGTTACAAATATAATAAATTTGATAAATCACTGATATCACTAATTAGATGCAGGATACACTGATTGTCACATCCAGTTCTCATATGAGGACCCATATGACATGGACATTTATGTAGCATTATCTGATATTTTACTGATTGAGCCCAGTAAATATTGCAGCTATGTTCCTTTAGTCTTAAAGGGTTACTTCAACCAATATAAGTGTTTTCATAAGACATTGATTTTTGGTTAGAGTAACCTTTTTCTGAGGTGATCTCCCCCACAACTTAAAACAAGAAATCCCACAAATATGAGATATACAGAGTCCGTCACCAAGTCTTAGTTCTTCCCTCAGCCCAACTGTCCTTGGCTGACGTTCATGGAGTAACCCTTTAATGGAATTTTCAACAAACATTAGACTCTGTTTGTGAACAGAAGCAGAGACAGTAATTCACAGCCAATGTTTACTAATCTAATGATTAGTCTTAAATATTGACTGTGCTTTCTCTGCAGTAAAAATTCTCCTTGGTTAGTTGAGACCAAAGCTAGTTTCCTTTCTTGCTGTCTGGAAAACGGCTTTGGATTTGGCGGTGGTTGCTGAACTCTGGGGTACTCACTTTTCTGTCTGGCTGATTTCCTTTGATTTAAGGCTTACTATAAGTTTCAAAGGTCTGCCGTTTTAAAGAAGTTGATACTCGCTAGTCTTAAATGTCTATAGTACATTTTATGTTTAAGATCCCAATTGACTGAGACTAAAAATGTAGCTGATGTTGTGTCTTTTCCGATTTGATTTACCAAAGGGTGGATTTAAATAATATAAACTTCAATAAGGCATCCGTCATTTGATACAAGTGATTTTACACTAGTTTGGACATGACTCTTGCTTTTTCAACCTGTTTTGGTGAACTTGTTGAAAAATAATGGGGAGCATCCATGACTGTTCTCACAAAAAAAGTGACTTAGTGTAACCATTCAAAAGTTGATAAAAGCCAGCAAGCGGAGCTTCAGTACCTAGACCGGCGCACCGCAGGAATCAAGGTAAGTAAACTCACCTTTTAAATGTTCACAGGAGCAGGGGGAAGTTGCAACCTATAGGAAATGGAACACTATATTGTTACACATTTACATTTCTATTTCTAACACTGTAGTGTTTGTTTTAAATGCATGCATGTTTTCATTTGGGGTATATCTACTAAACAGTGGTCTTTATACTCCTGGGCTTTTGTTTGCAAAGGGTATGTGTTTATTGGGAAATTTAAATTCCTAACCTGATAAAAGAGGCTCCCTGCATGGTCATGATGGCTGGCGGGTTGGCCAGTCTGTCAGTGGGCAGGCCTGTGACACTGCACATCCCATACCAATTCCATATCTCATTGTTGTGAGCTATAACGCTCTATAAATGCTACCAACCACTAACAGTCTGCAAATACAAAGGGCTAAATAATCGAAAATTGAATTAAATACATTCTCTCATATATAACGTAACAGTGCTGTTTTCACTTTAATATCATTTGTAACTTGCTTTGTGAGCAGATGTTAAGATTCTTGTATCCTTCTCTTTACAGTTGTGGTTACATAGTTAACCACAAGCAGTGAAAGTGGTGATGAAAAAAAAAAAAAAACTTTCTCCAAAAAGTAAATAAACTAATAGATTAAAATGTGTCTGCCCTTACTGTTGTCAGTCACTTTAAGGATAACCCTTTTTAAAATATAAAGATAATATTTTATAGCCTTCATTTGCTTTGAAAAAGCAATTTTATGTAATGCTACATGTATAATTTCTGGTTAGAATAAAACTAGATTTGACAAATATTGATGTAATACTTTTCCCCCCCGAGTCATCTGCTGATGTGAAACAAACCATTAAATATGTCTGTAAAATGATTATGGCTAGAAAATACTCATTTGATGTGTAACTGTTTCTTTGTTTTATGGTTTAATTTTCAGCGGGTTAGAGAAGACACAATGAATGCAATAACCTAGCACTTCACCCCCTTGAGGGATACAATAGGATGGAGAAGCAAATACAAGGTGGCATTGAAAAGAGTGCCTCTTCACAACATTGCAATGAAGGCATGGAAGAAAGGAATGGTACATATTTCTCTGTGCCAGGAAATTGTTATTCTGCAAAACACAATTTGAAAGCCAGTTCAGAACAAAATGGCACAGGACTGACCACAGGGAGATTTGGTAATCACACCTTTTTTGTGCCGAAGCACACAGACTTCCCAAATTTAAACCTTGGCAAGGAACAGCAAACACACGAGCACTTTGTGAAGGAAGATGATGTATGGACTAAGGAATTCCTTTCAGAAGAGAGACTTGAAAATGTTTTAGCATCTGAGTTAAATGATAGGTTTGAATGCCAACTAATGCCAGAGACTACACAGTGTACTCACAGTGAGTCACTACCACCCTTTAAACTCGAATGTGGATGTGTCACTGATAATACAGGTTCATCTGGTGGCACTTACTCTGACATTGCTGACCACTCTTGTAGGAGAGGTTGTCATCCATTTTCTTCATATCAGCAACGTCCATTGGATGGGGAAGGGGTTGAAGATGGAGTGCTTGGGAAGCAAATGGAAGCTGATGAGGATTCTATCAAGGTAGCAGGTGGAAGGAGGGGAGCTCGTAAAGGGAGAACACGTGTTAATCTCAAAGAGGACTCTAGAAGGGATGGCCGGCAACATACATTCTCTGGTAGCAAGCATAAGCTAGGTCGAAAGAAAAGCCATGGTGATGGGAGGTCTATTCTGAAATCCATAATTCCTCAACCCTTAATTCTGCTTTCAACTACCTGTGTCCAGTTACTTATTGATTTGGTGCTCCTGATTGGGAAGTATGTAGAGATGTTTGGCACGCGACTATATACTTCAGTATTGCTGCCAGCTAGTGACCTAGGCCTTTTGAAAATCCAGCTGCAAACATTTGGGGTCTGGGCACGCCATCGTGTAAAGGACTCTTGGCATATGATTTGCTCATTTGGATTATGGCTTTTGCGTGTTCTGAAAATGCTATGTGCTCTACTCTTCCTGCTTTTAATGCTTGCTGTGGGTTGTGCCAGACTTTGTTGGCAATACATTAAGAGAGCTGCTGAACGAGTAGGAGGACATAACAACTGTGCATCTTGTATCTCCGTAAGATTACGCAGGATATGGGCCTTAATAACACAAAACAGGACCTTTAGCCGTTTAGTTAGCCCTCTCAGGAAATTGAAATCAAGATTATGGAGGTTAAGGGTGGAAAAAGAAACATCATGGGCCACAGCAGGATCTCCAACCACAGGTCGGTATCAGCCTGGGGAGGAAGTGGAACGTCTATTAACAATGGCGGACATTCCAGAGGAGGAGTTAAACCCATTTCAGGTGTTGGGTGTAGAAATTAATGCTTCTGAAACCGAGCTTAAAAAGGCATATCGGCAGCTGGCTGTTTTGGTAGGTAACATGTTTTTCCATGAAAGCAGATCTGTTTTTAGTTTTTGTAAAATTCTTCTCGCAACCTGTCTCCTTTTTGTCACAACTTGAGCCATCAGATTACTCAGCAGAGGAAGTGCTGGCAGGAAAATTAAACTTTAGGAAAAAAGTAAATAAATTTTACACAATTTAAATGATGATACACATCAGGAAAATGAAACACAGCCATAATGTAAGGGGAGAATTTTATTATGAAAAAAGTAATGACCTTACAATTCCATGAGCTTCTCTATCTTCTTCTGTGTTCTACTGAAACATGAGTCTTAAAGGTATCTCCTGCATGATTATCAAAGTCATAAATTAGAATAAAGGGAAAAACTCTGCTTTAATTATTGTTGCTAGTTATCACATCACCCACAATGAAAACCAGTAATCCCATCTAAAACTTAACCTGGCTTAGTCATTTTTACTTTATTTTTTTTGTATACATTTTTATTTTAAGCTTTAAATAAATGCTGTGCATGCGCCTTTCAGGTAGTTACTCAGTCATGACTTTTTGAGTGTGTGTATGTATGTGTATACACAATGTGAATTACCACATGATGCCTTTTCCTACTTAGTCCATATTAAGCATTTATTTAAGGGTTTGAAAATGCAGACTGCTTATATTGGTGGATTTGTTATATTCATTTTTTTTTTTTTTTTCCTCCTGCCTTTATCTCCATAGGTCCACCCAGACAAAAATAATCATCCTCGTGCAGAAGAAGCTTTCAAAATATTGCGTGCTGCATGGGACACAGTAAGCAATCCTGAGAAACGCAGAGAGTATGAAATGTAAGAATTGATATGGTAACACAAAGTTTGAGAAATAAAGTAAGACTTAATCTCTTTCAAAGCAAATACATCTCAATATCGTACAATTACTCTTTAGACCAGGGGTGCCTAAAAGCTAGACCCCCAGATGTTTTAAAACTACAGCTCCCATGATACCTTGTTATTCTAAAGTGCATACAAAGAATCTTGGGAATTGATTCCACCACATCTGGGGATATACCTTTTGGGTACCCTTGCTTTAGACACTACTCACTGTCAAATGAACAATCCAAGCACCATAACCAGTACAACCTCTTGTAGCGATTATGGTGCCAGGAATTCACTGGCAACATCCCACAGTAAGATGCCAGACCATTTTAGCATGGTTTCACAATTTACCTGAGTACCACCAAGTGTCCAGTCCTCATCTCGTCTTCTCAAACAGGACAGAACAAACGGGATGTTATTGTAGAGCAGTGCAGGGATGCAGTCATTGGCTTAAAGCATCAGCTGAGTTCTATCTTTCCTGCTCTGCTCTAAAGAGACATCTGGCTTCTCCTGATGGAAAAGACAGGATGCTATGCAGGCTCCTGGCAGAACCCATGTCAGCTGGGCACTCCAGGGATTATAACCCTTGCTGTGGGCTATAACCGTTATGGTGTTTGGAGTGTCCATTTAACGAATTTCCCCAAGCATAATTCTTAAGAAGATAATCCACTTACAGGCCGTTACAAAGTCGATCGTAACGACTTTGTTAGGACTCCATTATCATGATTGATTGAAGAGCATTTGTTGATATGACCTGATAAGCAAGCATTATGAGGTATCATGATCTGTGTATGTTTTGTACACAACACACAAAAGATCCTACAAACAAGATGAGGAATGAAAAATTATCCAACTACACACACTGCATGTAGAAATCACAGCTGTACATTTGACTTTGCCACTTGAATAACTTTGCATACTTCACATTGATCAGTGAAGCATCACCGATAACAATCACAGATTTGTGGATTAATGAAGAAGTCCAGGTTTTGAATGTAAAACCATTAATATTAAAATCGTAGTTGTTCAGTTTGCTTGGCTGGCTGCCTCAAAATGAGAAAGGTCCTTCCGACTTTTGCTTTCATGTATAAACACATCCATCACTGTCTCAACAAGCATTATTTGTCTTCACTGTTGCATCTCCTTCAATTTTAGGAAGCGAATGTCAGAAACAGAGCTGGCTAAGTCCATGAATGAGTTCCTTACCAAGCTGCAGGATGACCTAAAGGAAGCTATGAATAGCATGATGTGCAGCAAGTGTCAGGGGAAACACAGGTACAATGTAGTCTTTTATCTGAAAATGCAATTCCACTGATCAGAATGTGCCTATTTCATGAGGATCTGAAAGTACTTGCCAAGCAGGGTTCTTATCAACTATCTGGAATTCAAAGTGTTAAGAATATGGAATGGTCAGTCCTATTGAGACTGTAGTAACCTAATTACAAGTCCTATTGAGACTGTAGTAACCTGGTCACCAGTCCTTTCTTATTAAGGCTGTAGTAACTTGGTTTACTCCCCTCTGCCAACCTTGGACACTCCTCGCCACTAATGTTGTACTCCCCCCTTCTTTTTTACATTCAGCTCAGCCAGAGTTTTAATGCAATGTCCAGTTGTGCTCTCTTGTGGATGCTGCATGACTGAAGTAGTGATTGTTCTTCATATTGTTGGCATGGCCTTGATCTGGGAGTAAAGTGTTCTTTCCCAGTTATGTCATATTAATTTTGTCTGAACTATATTTGTCTGATGTATCTCACACAGACACCTAATATAAAGAATACTAAAAACAAAAAGTAATATGAAATGGGCCTAGAGTCATAAATATTGTTGTTTCAAAAGTGTCTACTTCATGTATTGGCTTGGAAATAATTTCTTGAAAAACCCCCAAAATAAAACATTAAAAAGCTGCATAATAGCATTGATTTTCTCTTACTTGAGTCAAGGTTAATGATCGATCTATAACACATTGCCATGTATCATAATACTCCAATTCAACATCTCCCAAAATGTTGAATTCCCCTTCACTTCACCTTAAAACCTTTGCATTAAAACTTGAATCCAGGTTTTACCAATCTTCATATGTACAGTCTGCATTTAACCAGATTTCCTACATCATGGGTCAACAGCCACTGATGGATACTGCCCAGTTGCCACATCCCACCTCCATGACATGTGAATAATCACTCTACTATATTCCTTTTCCTTGGAAAATTTGACATTTGTAAACATGGTAAAACGTTGCTTCTTGTATGATTAAACAATCCTGTTTTAATTAACAGGAGATTTGAAATGGATCGGGATCCTACAAATGCACGTTATTGTGCAGAGTGTGGGAAGATGCATCCTGCTGAAGAGGGCGACTTTTGGGCTGAATCCAGTATGCTTGGACTGAAAATAACCTATTTTGCCATGATGCAAGGAAAGGTGTTTGACATAACTGGTAAGAAATAGCCATTGAAGCTGTGTTTGCACACATAGCTATGTTCTAAAGGGTCACTCCAGCCACCATGACCACTTCTACTTTTAGAGATGCTCATGTTGGTAGGAGTCTGGATATGCAGTGATTCAGTTTGAAACACTGCACATAAACTGTTATTGGCACTTGTGTGTCGGGGGCAAGTTGCTGCCAAGACCTCTATTCCAGGCTGTGTAATGTCAGTTCTGCGCATATTTCACATCTGATGTCAGTGTGTGCTTGCAACGAACGTTATCAGTTTCTCCATTGCAGACAGTGTGTCTCTCCCTCCCTTCTTGTCTATAGCCCTGACACCTCTCTATAGAAATAAAAATGGTGCAGCACTCTTCAATGTTTAGAAGTTCCCTTTCTTGTGCACTCACAGCAGCTATTTTATCAAGCCATAAAGTGAAATCAAACTTGGTGCAGTTAAATAGCAGTGCAAATCAGTCATGTGCTAGTCATATGACCTCAGAGAAACAAGTATAGAATGTCTGCAATATGCAAATATAATGTGACGGTACATATAGTTTGTAAAGGTGCACATGATTCAGTATTAACCAGTATCTACAATGTGTAATAATTAAAATAAAGATAAGTTTGTATAATAAAACGTATTATCCTAAAACAATTTAGTAATTCTTAATGCAGCACATATTTTTTATTACTACATGATGTGCAGGGTAAAGCTGGTATCTTAGATACTTAACAAAACTGGTATTTTGACTGATCTGTGGGGTCATATCTAAAGATCTGTCAGTCACTTGTTTTATTGTTCTTATTTTGCTATAGAATGGGCAGGATGTCAGCGGGTGGGTATTTCTCCTGACACTCACCGTGTTCCATATCACATCTCATTTGGCTCAAGGAATCCCACAAGTACAGGACGACAAAGGTATAGATTGATAATTTCATGCTGTTTATTGAAAGGGATGACTTGAAATTGATGTAAAGTCCCTCCATGCCCCTAAAAACCCTAATGTAATTCTCATAATGGGTAGGTTTTTACCTTTATTTTCTTTCTACTAAGTGTATTCCTTAAGGCATGAAAGTTTAATTAAGGGAATGGTAAAGCCATCCAGATTAAACAGTTTTACTTTTTAAGTGGATACACCATATAAAAAGTTTGTGCTTTTAAATGGGGGCCGTCACTCCTCTAGAACATTATATCCTTGAATAAACCTTTACCTTGTCTTAATTTTTTATTTTTATATATTTATATTGTGTTGCTCACTTTTATTTTAAATGTATACTAAAGGGAGACTCTTAAGCACCCTAATGAATGATCAATCATGCCCCTGCGGTCTTGATGCTCAATTTGCAGCCATTAAGGAGTCAAATAATCTTGTTTCTGCAGCCTTGACCAAGCTTCTCTTTTGAAGTAACACACAGCCTACCTATTCTGTTTCTTTAAAAAAATTTGATTTTTAAACTTCCTTTATTGCACAATAATCTAGAATGTTATGTCTCCTGCCCTGACAATTGCCTACTGGTACCTACTGCAGCCTCCTCTGTGTGATTTAAAGTGTAATTTACAGAGCGGGAGATAAGACATTCTAAAAGTAAATACACTGTGTTGTAAAAATGAAAAAAAAATTTTTTTTTTTTTTTTTCTTGAAGGCTGTGTGAGTTGTCATCATGTGAGGTGTGACTATGTCTGCATAAACAAAATGATTTAAAGGGACACTATAGTCACCTGAACAACTTTAGCTTAATGAAGCAGTTTTGGTGTATAGAACATGCCCCTGCAGCCTCACTGCTCAATCCTCTGCCATTTAGGAGTTAAATCCCTTTGTTTATGAACCCTAGTCACACCTCCCTGCATGTGACTTGCACAGCCTTCCATAAACACTTCCTGTAAAGAGAGCCCTATTTAGGCTTTCTTTATTGCAAGTTCTGTTTAATTAAGATTTTCTTATCCCCTGCTATGTTAATAGCTTGCTAGACCTGAAAGAGCCTCCTGTATGTGATTAAAGTTCAATTTAGAGATTGAGATACAATTATTTAAGGTAAATTACATCTGTTTGAAAGTGAAACCAGTTTTTTTTTTTTCATGCAGCTCTGTCAATCATAGCCAGGGGAGGTGTGGCTAGGGCTGCATAAACAGAAACAAAGTGATTTAACTCCTAAATGACAGTGAATTGAGCAGTGAAATAGCAGGGGAATGATCTATGCACTAAAACTGCTTTATTTAGCTAAAGTAATTTAGGTGACTATAGTGTTCCTTTAACTCCTAAATGGCAAGAACATGATCTATACACTAAAACTGCTTCATTGAGCTAACGTTGTTTTGGTGCTTTGAGTATTCGTTTAAAGACTAAGCAATTGACAAAAAAAACCTGGTCCAGTCACAGCAAGAGCACACATTGCATCGGAGGAGGACAAACAAACTATTTGTGTCCTACATTTGTTAAATGTAGGGGATGCATAACACCGCAAATGTGATGGCACCACTTGTATTATTGGTCTCTTCCAATCTTCTAACATTATTTGATCTGGCATTTGCTTGCTGTTATGTATCCACACTCTATTATTGTAAAGCATCGCAAAATATGTTGGCAATATAGAAATAAGGATTATAGTAATGTATATTTTAGTTGTCTATAATTGTGATGGTTCAGGCACTTGCCATTGTTTTGAGCATGCATAATTAAAGTCTATTTGCTTAGGGCCTGTTTTACGGGTGTGTAATTGCACTAGCAGGGACTGAACTAGTGCAGTGGGGTGCAACCTCTATGATGTCAAATTGGTGTGTTATGATGCATCTTTAAGGGTGCCTTAACAAGTTTAAGGAGACATGACTTTCACACTCTGCTGATCAGTGCCCACTTATGGACAATTGTCATGTCACCATTAGGCAGCATGTGCACAGTGCCTGGCATTTGTAAGGCACAAATTTACTGTTGGAGCTTTTTGAGTTTAACAGAGTGTCTTTCTTTCTGTGAGGGTGCAAGAATATCAGAGTTTATGTGGGAGCATTTGTGATTGTTTTGTTTGTTTCTGAGGGTGCCAGTAAGAATGTGTCTAAGTGCATTTTTTCCCCCGAGTGTTTGACTTTAATAAGGACTGTGTATTACTGCCTTTGAGAGCTCTCTCTGCCTGGTTTTGGTTTTTAGTTTATTTTTGAATGGTAAATAAACAGTTTTAAAAACAAAATAATCAAACCCTTCTAAATAGATACACTGTTGTAGGTTGAGCTTTCCCCATTTTAAATATGTACAAAAGGAGCCACGATTATGAATCTGTGGGTTATTATTGTTTCTTTCGGATATGACACTGGAAGACAATGGTTCTCCTGAATGCTAATGGTCACTTAGCATAGCAAAATAATCCACTGTCTGAGAGGTGATCTGGGCATATGGTAGATTAGAAACATAGAATGTGACGGCAGATAAGAACCATTCGGCCCATCTAGTCTGCTCAATTTTCTAAATACCTTATCTTATAGTTAGGATAGCTTTATGCCTATCCCACGTATGCTTAAACTCCTTTACTGTGTTAACCTCCACCACTTCAGTTGGAAGGCTATTCCATGCATCCACTACCCTCTCAGTAAAGTAATACTTCCTGATATTATTTTTAAACCTTTGCCCCTCTAATTTAAGACTGTCCTCTTGTTGTGGTAGTTTTTCGTCTTTTAAATATGGTCTCCTTTACTGTGTTGATTCCCTTTATGTATTTAAATGTTTCTTTCATATCCCCCCTGTCTCGTCTATCCTCCAAGCTATACATGTTAAGATCCTTTAACCTTTCCTGGTAAGTTTTATCTTGCAATCCATGAACCAGTTTAGTAGCCCTTCTCTGAACTCTCTCTAAGGTATCAATATCCTTCTGAAGATACAGTCTCCAGTACTGCGTACCATACTCCAAGTTAGGTCTCACCAGTGTTCTGTACAATGGCATAAGCACTTCCCTCTTTCTACTGCTAATGCCTCTCCCTATACAACCAAGCATTCTGCTAGCATTTCCTGCTGCTCTATTACATTGTCTGCCTACCTTTAAGTCATCAGAAATAATCACCCCTAAATCCCTTTCCTCAGATGTTGAGGTTAGGACTCTATCAAATATTCTGTACTCTGCCCTTGGGTTTTTACGTCCAAGATGCATTATCTTGCATTTATCCACATTAAATGTCAGTTGCCACAATTCTGACCATTTTTCTAGTTTACCTAAATCATTTGTCATTTGGCTTATCCCTCCTGGAACATCAACCTTGTTACATATCTTAGTATCATCAGCAAAAAGACATACCTTACCATCAAGACCTTCTGCAATATCACTAATAAAAATATTAAAGATAATGGGTCCAAATACAGATCCCTGAGGTACCCCACTGGTGACAAGCCCAAGCTTCGAATATACTCCATTGACTACAACCCTCTGTTGCCTGTCACTCAGCCACTGCCTTACCCATTCAACAATATTGGAATCCAAACTTAAAGATTGCAGTTTATTGATAAGCCTTCTATGTGCAACAGTGTCAAAAGCCTTACTGAAATCTAGGTAAGCAATGTCTACTGCACCACCCTGATCTATTATTTTAGTTACCCAATCAAAAAAATCAATAAGATTACTTTGGCAGGATCTCCCTGAAGTAAACCAATGTTGTCTCTGATCTTGAAATCCATGTGTTTTTAGATGTTTAACAATCCTATTCTTTAACATGGTTTCCATTACTTTCCACACTACTGAAGTAAGGCTTACTGGCCTATAGTTGCTCGACTCCTCCCTACTACCTTTCTTGTGAATGGGCACAACATTCTGACTTCCAATCTTCTGGGACTACTCCTGTTAACAATGATTGGTTAAATAAATCTGTTAATGGTTTTGCTAGTACACCACTAAGCTCTTTTAATAGCTTTGGGTGTATTCCATCAGGTCCCATTGACTTATTTGTCTTTACTTTTGACAGTTGAAATAGAACCTCTTCCTCTGTAAACTCACATGTAATATGACTCATTTGCCCTTTTTCCTAACTGAGGTCCCTTTCCTTCATTTTCATTAGCCAGTTTATATAAGCTAGATTTGGAGAGAACTCATGTGTAACATTTCACACCTTGCAAATGAGCTCTGTAATCAGTTTCAGAACAGGAATCCATGTTGTAATCCTTCTGACATCTATCATATTTCTATACAATTGCATTTAACCCTCCTTGTGCTGAAATTGACAATACTGGCTCTACCAGGCAGCCGATCCATGTATTCGATACACAAATCCCATTAAATAGCAATATTCTATAGTGCAACAATGAATTATGCACCCTTGACATGACATGCTTTACTTCAGATCAAGCCATTCAGTTTGCAAAGAAAAAGAATCTGCAAGAAAACTTTACTTAAATCATGTATTGAAGTAAAAATAAAATGTATTTTTTTTTCTCCTGTACATAATCTATCTTAATCATGTTAATGTTTTGAATGTGGAAAATTCCTGGGCAAAGTTCTGAAATGGTGTAATCAGCAGATGGTGAAAATGACCTATTAATTTCTTTTCGCAGGGCTCCATCAGAAAACGGTCCATCTTCTGTTGCTGATCTTCAAAACCTCTTGAGCAGAATATTCCAAGGATCTCCGGGTCAAATGCCTAATAGGAATGTTTTCAATACCCCACAGGGAGCTCAATCTCCGTCAGGACCAGTTAAACCAGACAGTGCTCCAAGAAGTGACACAAAGGCCAAGCGGAAAAAGAAAGTTAGACGTCCTCTTCAAAAATGAACCAGAACATCGACGTACGACCATTTGCTTACCAGATAGGTGCATTACATTTGACCTACATAGACGGGGTTAAAATGTTTGCCCACAAAAGCTAAAGTTGGATGGCCATGACCTCTCTCTACCTTGATTAACCAATACTGCAGATGTCCCCATGTCCCTGACCATCCTGGACTGTATTCAATTTGGCCTGAGCCAAGCTGCCAAGGGCTTAAAACAAATTTCAAGTCTGTTGACTTCTTTGTATTTTTACTTTCCTGGATGCCTAGATTTGTGACACCTTGTTTCAACCCCATGTATAATAATTTTATGGGATTTTTTTACTGACTGCAAAGATTTCCTTTTTGTTTTCTTCCTCTAAAAGTGAACATGTCTTCTCATCATACCAAAGATACCTGGTGTACACAACTTTCTGGGTATAGGACAAATACTTCTGTGCATGTAATTTGTGAGACCAGGTTATTGCAGACAGGGAATGGATACATCCTTGAATGTATAAATTACTTGTACATAAACACAGGAATCTTTTTTTGTTAACTATTGTATTTTCTTGCTTTTTACAACATACTTGGTTGCTAGTGCCATTGCCTTTTGATTACTTTTCTTTGAAATTTGTTGTAAAGGATATTATTGGACACTTAAAAGTGAAGAAGCTGACCATTATACCATAATCTTTCATAATTCTTCCAATCTCATACAGAGTTATTCCTAAAGGTGTAAATTGCCAAGAATTCAAAGTGAATTTTAACTATAGCCAGCTGGAACAATTCTAAAATTTAGCAGTTTTTCGTTTGGCTATTTTGGCCCAAAATTAAAAATTCACTCTGACAACACTTTCAGTTCTTGACAATTCCTGCTTCAGTGAATAACAGTATATTTGATTAGATAAAGCTGAGTGTGGTGCTTTATCTCAATCTCTAAGGAGGGTGGGAAGATTTGTAACTTTGTATAGGGAAACGGTGTCATTTTTATTACGAGTAGTATTTATATTAGTGGCCTCTCTGTGTAGCATTGTAAAATGCATACATACAAGTAAAAATCTAATTTCAGTGCAAGAGAGAGGATAGTTTTAAGCTCTATTTTCAGACTTAATGCATCAGATCAGTCAGGTAAAACCATGTAAGTAATAAAGAGCCAATACATGTTAAAGGATCATTATAGGGTCAGGAACACAAACCTGTACTCCTGACCCCATAGTGCTAAACCCACCATATAGGTGGCTTGGCCCCCCTATAAAAGTTTAAAACGCACCTTATTTCCAGCGCAGCGAGTGTCTGCAGGCACTGGCTCCGCCCCCTTTGTGACATCAAAATTGCTGATTTTTAGCCAATCCAATGCTTTCCCAAAGGGAAAGCATTGGATTGGCTAAAATCGGCATGGGGCGGAGCCAAATGCTGTTTTGGCCAATCAGGACCTCCTCATAGATCCATTGAATCAATGCATCTCTATGAGGAAAATTCAGTGTCCCCATGCAGAATGTGGGGCAGCTGAAGGGCAGGCCTGCTTTCTGTGCAGCCCTGAAACAGGAAGCACCTCCAGTGGCCACTTGGAGGTGTCCCTAGGGCAATGTAAACACTGCTTTTTCTCTGAAAAGGCAGTGTTTACATGAAAATGCCTGAAGGCAATGATTATACTCACTAGAATAACTACATTAAGCTGTCCCTTTAATGAATGTCTTAATGTCATGTACCCACCGGGTATCTCTAAAACACTTTGAGCCAGGTGAAGACATTCAAACCGTGCATTGTTTATGGGCAGGTACGTGCACAGGTAAAGTTAGCCATACCCCCAGAACATGGGTAAACCAGAAGAGGTATTGAAGAGCATTACTTGTATGTACGGCAGAATAAAACACAGGAAATATGACATATTTTGTAATAAGAGAAAGATACAGATTTTCCTTTAATTGGTTACCTAAGGTTTGTATTGCGTCACTGTAACAAAATGATGAGAAAATGCAAAATCCCTCAGGATTAACAAATAGGAATCAACACACTCTTCTGGTGTTAACATCTCTGACCCCTGCTAGTACAATGCTGCAGTTCCTTGGAACCACTTAAAACTCTGCGTCCTCTATGGCATTATATTCATAGTCCAGATGATATACTAACCATCCAGTCTGTCGCTTTCCTCACTTTTAAAATAAATATATCCTTGGGCAGCGGAAGTGTCATTGCTGTCACAAGCTTTACTGCAACAGTATTTGAAAATGGCAAGGGAGTCTGTGGTCACTTGCACAGATGACTTGCAAATTCTGGTCAGGGCTGGCCAATCTATCATTATAGTAAATTTTGTCAGGAACAGTGTTTAGGACAATCAATTTTAGCAAAATGTCTCTTCTCTACGTATTTTATATTACCTGATTTGTACAAGTCTACTTTCATGATATCTTTCAGTCTTGAAGGCCCATGTTTGCTACGCAGTGTGGTATTAGAAGCAGGTAACTGTTGGAAGAACCATTCAAGAGAAAATTTGACCAGGTTTGTCAGGAGGTCTCATGGAAGAGGACCACATAGTGATTTCATTTTACTTTGGTCCATCGCAGTAGATGGGTTACAATAGAATACCTGTAGCCTTTAATTATTATCTTGTGCACCCAGGCTGTGCTATAATTCTAATCTTCTGCAGTTTTTAAATCTGATTTAAATATTTGGAAAATCACTAAGATGTACAATTGATGAGTGATTTTCTAGGCATCGTATTAAAACAACAAATCAACATCACATTTTCCAAGTAAATTTGAGATATTGCTATTGCTCAGAGAACTATATTGTAAATTGAAGTATGATCCTCAGGACTGAGGGGTTATAACAGCCTTGTATAACATTTTGTTAAATTAAAAATTTTATGCTTTAAAAAGCTGGAATTGCAGTTTTATTTTTAATAGTTTGGTAACCTTTGAAATGCCTTCCATAATACTAAGCACATTGTAGAGTGTGATACGCCATGCATTCAACCAATATTAAGAACCCGTCTTTTTACGTTGTAGCCTTATGTTACAATTGTTTAAAATATTGTTTTCACATCCGTCTACACTCAGCATCCCATAATGAAAAATCAAACACCAGATTTTTGAAAGCTTGGAAAAACATTTTTAAAAAGAAAAAAAAAAAACTGAAATATCACATTGACATAAGTATTAAGACCCAGTACTATGACCCTTAAAATTTAGCTCAGATGCATCCCATTTCTCTGGACCATCTTTGGTTCTACACTTTGTTTGGAATCTGCCTGTGGCAAATTCACTTGGTTAGACATGATTTGGAAAGGCACACTACTGTCTGTACATGGTCTCGCAGCTTTAAAGGCGTAAAACCCAAGTCATGAAGTCAGAGCTGCAGAGACCGGAATGTTTTCAGACACAATTTGGAGACAGCTAAAAATAAATATTATGACTGCATTGAAGGTTCTTTAAGTGGATGGCCTCCATAATTGTTAGAAGTTTGGAACAACTAGGATTCTTCCTAGACCTGGTGCCCAGCCAAATATAGGTAATTGGGGAGAAGGGCCTTGATAAGAGAGGTGAGCAAGAATCAAATAGTCACTCTGACTGAGCTTCAAAGATGATGTATGGAGATGGGAGAAACTTGCAGAAGGACAACCATCATTGCAACAGTACTGATCTGGACAGTTTTAAGCTTCTCCGTGAAAGCCTGCTTGGAATTTGCACACAAAAAAACAACCCTAAAGGGCTCTGACTGTGAGAAACAAGACTTTCTGGTCTGATGAAAAGAAGATTGAACTGTTTGGGCAACCAGGCCCCACTCATGGTATGGTGGTAGCATCTGGTTTTTTAAGTCTTTTTCAAAAGCAGGTCAAAGACTGGCCATGAGAAATGATCAGGGTTGAGGGAAAGCTGAATGCAGCAAAATACAGAGCAAATCCAGACGCTTGCTTAAAGGGACACTAAAGGTATCAAAACAACTTTAGCTTAATGAAGCAGTTTGGGTGTATAGATCATGCCCTTGAAGTTTCACTGATCATTTATCTGCCATTTGGGAGTTGACTCACAAAGCCTGCACAATAATAAAAAAAAAATGGCTTCATTTTTAATCAAATGTTCACCTTCTTCGAGAAGTTTGTATTTCTTGCTCTGTAATCACAAGCAAGAGGCTTCTGCAGGGTCCAGATGGCTATTAACAGAGTAGTAGATACATTATAAATTAAACAGAATGTGCAATAAAAGAAGTTTAAACTTTAGATCTCTCTTTACAGGAAGTGTTTATGAAAGTTGTGCAAGTCACATAAAAGAAGGTGTGACTTGGGCTGTAAGAACAAAGTGATTCAACTCTTGAGTGGCTGCAGGTTCATGACCTATACTCCAGAACTGCTTCATATAGCTAATGTTTTGGTGCCCATAGTTTACCTTTAAGTGCTTTATGAGTGGAGTGTGACCTCATTTCATTTTATAAAAAGTGCAGATTTCAAAATTAACTACGTTACACCCTCCTGGTGATCAATCAGTCAGCTTGTAAGACTAGTGGAACTAAACTCAAGGCAGGCAATTGCTCAGACACCTTGAAAAGACTGAGCTTTGGGAAGTCTGCAATTGGACAGCCTCAGAAAGGCTAGGTTAGAAGAGGAGGACTTGCAAAAGCTTTAGATACAAGATCTGCAGGTTTTGCATGATGTTTTTAGATATAGCCTCATTGAAAAAAAACAAATATGCAGTTGAATGCAAGCATGTTTTCATTAAGGGTATACAAAACTGTTAGTTTTTTTTATATTTAGCCAATGAATTGTCCTTTTTCATGAAAACTTAGTCCAAAATGTTCAGGATCTTAGACTGGGTTGAAGGTTCATCTTCCAACAGGACACTGATCCAAAGCAGACAGTCAAAACAATACAAGACTGGCTTAGGTATAACTTTGTGAATGTCATGGAGTGTCCCTGTCAGAGCCTACACTTGAACCTAATAAAACATCTCTGGAAAAACCTGAAAATGTATGTCCATTGATTGGCCCCATCCTATCTGACCAAGATAAGAGAATCGGCAGAGATGAATGGCAGAAACTACCAAATTCAAGTGTGCAAAGCTTTTCACTTCATACACAAAAAGACTGACTATAATCGCTGACAAAGGTGCTTCATTTAAGTGATACTTTTATTCTGTTTAATATATTTGTAACGGTGTCCCAAATCTATTTTGTTTCATCATTATTAGGTATTAAGTGCAGATTTCTGCACAGAACTAGAGAGTATTAATGATACCGGTTTACAGAAAGCTATTGCCAAGGGTTCAATTAGGACGTCTTTAACTGGGCACCAGTTTTAGGCTGTATCAACTTAACCTTAATTATCATTGGAGCGCAGTCCACAGCTTCCTCCTTTCTCCCTAAAACCAGTCCGGGGCTTCCTCCTTTCTCACATAATTTTCTGAATGGGAAGCTAGCAATAGGCTATAACTATTCCAAATCTATAATGGGAAGCTAGCTATAGGCTATAACTCTGCCGGAAACGAGGAGCAATGTGAAAGGTGCAGTCTTCACAACTTCCTGGGTAAACCATTTGTAAACTGCTTAACCACTTTAGATAATAGGGCAGCCAGACACCATAACTTTAATACATAATCCCCTCTGAATTTCCCATGTTTTCTGAAAATTGCAGGTGTACAATTTAAGTTAGATAGCACCATTTACACTGCAGCAATATATGGAATTACATGTTTCATTATTCACTTAATTTTAAATGTAGGAAAATAAACAGTTCATTTAACAATGCAGGAATTGTGCAGAAAAGACAAGAGAATAGCATTTGTCTTATATAATTGCTGGCTGAGGGACAGAAATGTCTTTAAATGGTCACTCCCAGTATTATAAGCATTTTATAACAGTTTGACTTGTTACTCTGTATCTTCTCCACACCTCTTCTACTTCTGATAGAAAATCAGAACCCTGCTGAGGAGTTTTTGTTAAGTTCCCCTGAGCTAACCCCTGCTGGGTAGGAGTAAATATTTGGAGAATCTCCTGGACCCCCATAAAAAGCTGTATAATAAATAGTTAACTTCACAACATATAGAAAATGCATATAATAGCTTTTTTTTGGACAAAGTTAAAACTTATCCTTTACTTTATTATTTAAAGGACCACTCTAGGCACCCAGACTACTTCAGCTTAATGAAGTCCACAGAGAAACTGCTATGTTTATAAATAGATTAATCCAGCCTCTAGTGGCTGTCACATTGACAGCCGCTAGAGGCGTTTGCGTGCTTCTCACTGTGAAAATCACAGTGAGAAGATGCCAGCGTCCATAGGAAAGCATTATGAATGCTTTCCTATGAGACTGGCTGAATGCGCGTGCAGCTCCTGTCGCGCATGCGCATTCAGCCGTAGAGGAGGATCGGAGACGGAGAGGAGAGATCCCCGCCCGGCGCTGGAAAAAAGGAAAGTTTAACCCCTTTCCTTGCCATCCAGCCCGGCGGGCACTATAGTGGTCTTTTAATTAACACATTGGAAATAAAGGCTGGACTAAAGTGCAAGTGAATGTAAACTTATAATGTGCGAAATCCCCTAATGAAACACTATTGGTTTGCAGAGAATGCACATTTATATATATATTAGGGAACTAGATATAATGGGACTGCTTAATATTTTAGCCTGAAGTTAACATTCTAGTGAGCCGATATCAAATATATCTATGCAAAGGACCAATAAATATAAAACCATAATATAAAAGTAACCCTTCGCTAATCACATGATCAGTCACTGAAGAAACAGTTTGTTGTACTGATGAGGCACCAAGCCTATCACCCCCCACCCCCCATCCCCTCCTGAGCAAAAGTTTCCTCTTTTTCTGGATATAGGATATGAAACCAACAGGCCTGTTTTTGCGATGTTGTACGTTAAGGACCAGAGCAGTTTTGAAACTTTTGTGGTGTTTGTGTTTAGCTGTAATTTTCCTCTCTCTATTTACGGTTCCCATACAAGTTATATATTGTTTTTTTTCAGGACAGGAAGGGCGTTCTTTACATATCATTATTTGTATCATGTCATATATTTTATTTTAAAAAAAATAATAAAATATGGTGAAAAATTGAAAAAAAAACAAACACACACGTTTTTGGACTTTTACTTATCTACAAAAGCTAATGAAAAAAAACTGCTAAATAGATTCAAAATTTTGTCCCGAGTTTAAAAACACTCAGTGTTCACATGCTTTATTGCTTTCTTTTTGCAAGTTATAGGCCTATAAATACAAGTAGGAAATTGCTGCTTCAATATATATATATTTTAAATTTATCAATTGTGACATTGTAACATAGTTATCTGTCATAAATCCCCCAATCACACCTCACATGTACATATTTTTTTAAAATTAGACAACCCAGGGTATTCAAAATGGGATATGTCCAGTATTTTTTAGTAGCCACCTACTCACAAACACTGGCCAAAGTTAGCATTTATACTTGTTTGTTAAAAATGCAAAAAAACGCTAACTTTGGCCAGTGTTTGTGACTAAGTGGCTACTAAACAAGGCTGAACATACCCCACTTGCAATACCTTGGGTTGTCTTCTTTTGCAAATGGTATGCCATCATGGAGCTAATTCTCATTCCTGGGCTACCATACGCTCTCAAAGGCAACCTAACCAATCTGACAAATTTCAATAAAAAAAAAATCAAGCCTTATATTTGACCCTGTAATTTTCACAAACACTATAAAACCTCTACATGTGGGGTACTGTTATACTCAGGAGACTTTGCTGAACACAAATATTAGTGTATCAGAACAGTAAAATGTATCACAGCAATAATATCAGTGAAAGTGCCGTTTGTGTGTGAAAAATGCAAAAAAAGTCACTTTCACTGACAATATCATCGCTGTAATTTTTTTACTGTTTTGAAACACTAATATTTGTGTTCAGCGAAGTCTCCCGAATAAAACAGTTCCCCCCATGTACAGGTTTTAGGGTGTCATAGAAAGTTACAGGGTTAAACACAGTGCTAGCCAATTAAATTCTCTGGACTTTCGGCCTGGGTTGGCAGGCAGGTCCCTCAAATTGCAATCATTAAAATTACTTAATTAGGTAAAAATATTACATAAATACACACGTAGAATTTTAATATATATATATATATATATACATATTTATATATTTGACATCTACGTGTATATTTATGTAATTATGTATATGGACATATGTATATTTCATATTTTTATTTATTTATACATAGATATATATATCATTACATTCAAAGTGTATTTTGATATAAATATATTAATATCAAAATACTGTTAGAATAAAATTACATATATATATAATTTTTTTAATTATTAAAAATTATTTTTACTTTGTTATTTATTTTTATTAACATTTATAATAATAATATATATATATACATATATATATATATATATATATATATAGTAAATGAGACAATGGTGGCTCTGATTCAGAGGTCGTAACACCGACCAATGAATTAGTGCTAACAAGCCCTGGAATTACTCTCCCTAATTAGTGAATAACCCTCGAATATATAGAAAGACACAAAACAGAAACGCCGAAACGCGCGTCGAGCTTATTTTTATTTATTTGCTTTACACTTTTTGGTAGCACTGACGGATTGATTTATTTAATGTTATTTTAGTATTTTTTTTGAAAGGCAGGGACTGAGGCTTTGGTAGGCACTTGTGATTCTTCACAGTGCCGAGGTAATTAGGGACAGAAGACTTCTTACAGGGGTTACTGTCTGGGCACTCCCTTTATATTGCCCCTCTTTTTTCAGTTACCTCTATTTACCTAGGCTCCTTTTTGGAGATTTAAAATGTGTAGCATTTGAACCCTAAGATTAAAAATTTGTTCAGCAGCCTTTTTAGTTAGTAACTGGTTCCCGGTGTCTATTCTGGATGGTCTATTATTATCAAACTTCTCTCCACCTGTCCTGTTTTGTGTTCCCTTAGGATTATTAAAAGGTAGGGATTCCCATTTTTTCTTCTCTTATTACTCTCCTACCCAGGACTTTTTCAGTCCTATTTTCTGTTTTGTGTTTTTCTATATATATATATATATATAGTTATATATATATATATATATATATATTGTATATATACACGTGTGTAATTTAAATTAAGTGTATTTTTGTTAAAATACGTATATATAAATATAAAAATACACTTAGTATGACATATATATACGTATATTATATATAGATATAATACATGTATATATATCATATACATATATTATTTTTTTTACATTGATTGCTTTATTTTTTAACTTTATTTTTGATTTTCCACGTGCAGGGAGACTGCCTGTCAGCACAGACAGTCCCCCCGCAGGCAGATACACAGACACCTATTGCAGTCATGTGATCGAGTGATCACGTGGCCGCAGGGTCCTGATCTGCCGAGGGGAGACTGCCCGGGCAGACAGGCAGTCCCCCTGGAGCGGGAGGAGCGCCGATCGCCGCTGGGGGACCGACAGCGATCAGGTAAGTAGCCCCAGACCGTTATGACGGTTCAGGACCGTCATCGGTCCCCAGGGGGATTTTTCTGATGACGGTCCTGAACAGTCATCGGTCATCAAGGGCTTAAGTCAGTTATGCTTCCATTTAGGCTATTCTAACCTTAAATTTGAAATTAACTTTGAATTCTCACTTTAGTAAACAACCCTGTAAGAAATGCAAAGTGTATTTCACCACTAGTTTTACTGTGGAGTGTGAAATGGCTGTGTATCATTTGTACAATGGACTCTGCACCTGTAGTGACTGGTAGTATCCAAGTAGGTAGAATGATAACTTTCAACCAAAGGTTATCATCTTCTAGTATATTTCTTTATGCATTAACATACTTCATGTGTGCAATCTCTGCACTGTTTTATGGAAATAATGTTTAATCAGTGTATTTAACTTTCAATTATTTTATTTACATGCACTGCAGTGAAATTGTTTATTTAAGCTACTTTCATTGTTTTAATTAAATAATAATAAAAAGAAAGTTATCCTATACAGTTTACATTGTGTATTTGTAGAATTTTTTTTTTTTTTCAGTTCAATTTCCTTTTTTATGGCTTGGCTACTCCAAGTCACACAGCTCCCTTTTTCTTATTTTCATAAATTTGTAACTTGCTTGCCTCTAATCCAATGGTGAGACTGCTCCTCGCCGCAGCTCATGAGATCATTAGTACTATCTATGTTTAGTAGATATGGCAATGTTATGATTGCAGGGTTCACACCTGTAGTGGCTATATTCCCGAAAGCCATTAGAGACACTTCCTCCGTAAAAGAAGAGTCCGAATCAGTTCTCAATCAAGTACTGCTCCTAGACACCATTTGATATGCGCAGCACAGCGATTTTCTGCACATGTGCACATGCCTACCAATACTTCCCCATGGAGAACATTGATGATCTCAGACAAAGAGGCTGGACTGTATGGCAGAAACCAGTGTGGTGAGGGCTACTAGATGAGTAAAACTTATTTATTTCTTAACTGCAAACAGGGAAGGGGCAGATACCTAAATAGGTAGGACACTATAGCATTAGAAATAAAGTACGTTTGTATTGCTAATGGGATAATGTTCCTTTAAAGTGGAACATCTCATTAATACCTATGAATAAAATCAAGCCAATTGTGAACATGTGATGCTCTGTTTTCTTAAATGGACTCTATAGACACCCAGACCACTTCATCTCAAAGTGGACTGGGTGCCATGATCATGATATCATTAGTACTATCTATGTTTAGTAGATATGGCCGTGGACTGCTTAACCCTGCAAATGAAAACATTGTGATTTTGACGGAACTGCAATGTTTTTATTGCAGGATTAACACGCTTCTAGCAGCAGTCAGGTTAAACTTCAAGTAGTAGCCACATATAAAATTTGTCTCTATAGCAGACATGATAAAAAGTAAAAAATTTACAAATATTCTAATTTTTGGTATATGTAAAGAGATGGCATTTTGTGAATGTAGCGTATGGGGGGGAGGTGGAAGCAATTTATTTATTCATTTTTTAAAATGCATCACCCCGTATGTGCAGCTGCTTATGTCAAACAAGCCATCTATACTATGTAGGGCACTGTGGTGTGACAAAATGTTTTGGCTAGAATGCAGCCCTGTAACCTGCCTCTCAAGCTCACAGATGGTGATTGGGGCACAGTAATTATAGTTTTTCAATTGAACGCAGAGGGGTTGGAGTCCCAGAGAATAAACTAATTGCTGCACAGACTAGGGCTGAAGGAAAAGGGGAAGATAAGTGGGGGTTTATTAGGCAAGAGGATTTTTTTTTTTTTTTTTTTAAAGAGTTTTCATATTTGCAGACATGTTTTTTCTTATATAGAAAACATATACCATTTGGTATTAGTCACTGCTCAATTCCTTACATTTTCATTAATTGATGCCATATGTATTTGACATCATTAAAAACACTTGTGAAATTGTGAAATTTACTCAAGTAGCAGAGAAGAAAAAAAAGCTCAATATAAGTATATTTTCCAACTATACCACTTGCATGAATTATAATAATCTTCTCAAGTCACTGTTTGATACTCCTATAATACCATCTGTAATTATTGACTGAGTGATGGACGGGTTAAAAATTTTGCCTTTAGCACACAATTATTTTATTTTACATCATCAGTCCTACACAATGTTTGCCTCGTGTTTGGTATTTAGAAGAATTGTCATAGAAAGCATTCGCAAGGGGACAGAACTCTATTGGGAATATAAATTAAAAATTGATGTTCAGCTAAGAGATAATTGAACTGCAGTACAGAGCCCTTTACAAAGAGCTGTTCTTCATATCTTGCAAGACGTATGTCCTGTCTCATTATCATGGGGGGGCAGAGTGTTGGTGGCTGTGGGTGTACAGCTGAACCTACAGCGGAGAAGAGTTGGGTTTTATGCTTTACACAAATTGCAGCTATTGGCACCACAAAACCCATTTTTTAAGCATAGAAAAGTCATGATGCTGCTTGAAATTTCATTGATAAGTCAAATAAATTAAATGATTGTGTGTATATATTCATATGGTGCAGTCAGACATTTCTTTTATTCTGGTAACAATGGGTAGAGAAATTGTATGTCTCCTATGTATACTGACACCTAATGTTCCACTTGCTTATTAATAAAAATCATGACTTGAATTTTTTTTTTTAGTTAAACCTTTTCATATCTGTATAGTGTGCTCTGCCCTACATTGAAGTTCTTTTAAGTCATTTTGTAAATATATTCTTTATACAAGTCCAGTCTAGCAATCTAGTTAAAAAGAATGGAGAATAAACTGTTTTAAAACATATAAAATGAATGTTAAAATGTTAGAATATTTTTTGGAGTTAAATCAGGCCTGTCACGTATGGGACTCAGCAAAAATATGTCAAGGAACCCCTATGCATCACCACTGCATGGAGGGCATGGGGGAGGAGTACTTCCTTATTGACTCTCTCTTCCTCTCAAACACCTCCTCTCAAACACCTGGAAAATAAGGCTGTCAGGGGCTTCTGTGTTCTTGGTTGTGCACAGGAGCAGTAATACAAGGCTCTATAGGAGATCCCACAAGACCCTACAGAAATTCTGTGACAACATTAAAACTTTACATAAAATGCTATTGCACTCTCATGGGAAACGGCAAAAAGTAGTGAATCTATATTTTTCCTTTTCCCTGTTTTGCAAGATTTTACAACATACAGAAGACAAAATACTTCCTACTTTGCCTTAAAATGAAAATTCGACTCTTAAAGCCAACTACTTAGCTACTTGTGAAGAGTGTGACCCTTCTCCCCATTTTATAAAAAAAAAGTACTGATTTGAAAATATGCACTTTTATAAGTTAACCTTGTTACGGCCCCCAGGCTGTAAATTAGAAAATTGGTCCTTTTACTTCCTTGTTGTTTAGCTCAGTTCAGCTATACTCATTAGGCAAGTAATTGTTCAGAGCACCTGCCATAGAAAGACTTCTTATAGAGCTGCAATGTAAGGTCTGTGATTAGACAGCCACAGAAAGTCTGGCCTGTGAAAGAATGGCAATGCTTACACAGGATGCAGACAAGAGATCTGCAGCTTTTGCAAGCTGCTTTCACAGTGGAGAGTGCCTTTTAATGTAAATATTTTGATTACATTTGTATTTAAATGCTATCTTTAGTATAGTAATTGAGAAGAGAGATTTGTGTTCATTGAGACATCAATATATAGTCTTTGTTAAGTGCAATATGCAGGGGTGTACTCCCTATAGACAATTTTGAATAGTCTAAAGAGAATTACAATGTTTAGGCCAAAATAATCTGGAAAAAAGTTCTCAGCTACTTTTGAGTTTGACTATACTCATCTAAAATGTCCAATTCCCTTGTCAAATCTCAAAAATACCCTGCTGACAGAGACGATGGATAAATTCCTTGGTCTGGTGTATTCATAGAACGGGAATTGAGTAGCAAACATTCTTCACACCAGTTAAAGGAATGCAATCATTATATATAGAGAAATGGTAGGTGGGTGCAGTTTAAAAAAAAAGAAAAAGAAAAGGAAAGTCTTTCACTATGCAGGTTTAAAGGTTTAGCTATTTTTCTAATGCTTTCAGTTGGCTGTGGATTTATCTGGTGTACTTCCTTCCCTTATCTCCTTTGTGTATGACCTTGTCACACAAACAGTAAAGGATTGCACAATTGATCTCAGACACTTCCATTGGTTACATTACACAATCAAAAATCAAAGTAAACCTGCTTGAATCATGAACTTTAAAGGAAAATGGTTAGAGTCCACTTATGCATAGCACCAGTTGCAAAATATAATCTCCACACCAAAGCATGAAGCAAGGTTCACACTGCTGTGACAATAAGGCAGGTCTATGATCCACTTGGTACCTGTTACTCCGTATTTCTAAGAAATGTATTTAAACATCACCCTATGAACATAGAGCACTGGATGAATAGCATGGTTTTGAGGCATCATCCCTTGTCCTTCCTGTTGACATATCCTCTGGAAATAAACAATTAGCCTTCAAGTGAAAGAAGGAAAATGGTATCCAGGAAGGTGGTTTTCATTTCCTCAAAACAATGCAAGCTGCTGTGGAGCAGTGGTCGGGAGAAGTTGTCAGTATTTGTTGATCCCAAATATCCTGACTCCATGAAACTGTGGGAGTTTTGGGAGGAGGACACTTAACAGAGATGTTGTATTTATAAGGAAATGGACGACATCATATTTTGTATAAAAGCTGGCAAGTAGATATCTGGAAGGAAAAAAAAAATATATAAAATCAGGTATAAGTACAATTATTATTTCACCATTCAGGTTGTCATGACTATGACATGTGTGTGTTAATAGCTCAGGAAAAAATACAATCATACTATTCACTGATAAATATGTGCTATGGAAAATATTGTATTCTTTAACGCCTGAAGTAATACAATAGTTCTGCCATCCAGATTTATACCAGCTGGTAAATGGAAAACCTTAACGATCACTGGACACCCAGGGCTTCATTCTGTCAGGGTTACAGTAAGCATTAGAGTTTATCAAATAACGTATAAAAATTTGCCAACCAACAATGTGCAATCCATCACTCCACCCCAACCCATCTCCCCACAGAGCATAAATATATCAATAGATATTTACACGGCAGTAAGCAATATAAGTATGGCTGGCATCCAGGTCAACAACATAGATCCATCTTCACTTATCTCAACAAATTAACAATTTTAAAAAACTGCAATCTGCAGGTAACCAATTGGTCCTGTATCTTTGCAAAGGTACACATGTGGCACATTGTTGTACAGTTCAGGAATGTTTACTACAATAGCATACACAATTTTTTAATTGCAGCAACAGTGCAATGTATATGTACGATCATAGTGACACATTTCCAAAATGGCCAGCAAAAATGCAATATAGAAAAATAAAACAAAAGAACCCCACACAAACAACAAATAAACAGAACAAACCACTTCGTCCCCCCACAGATTTAACAAACTATTGCAGTGATTGACAAATTTGCTTTGAATGCAGGTGCGAGCTAAAAAAATGTTTAAACTAACAAAATTTTATTTTCAACAACAAAAATACAATTCTTAAAGGGACACTATAGTAACCAGAACCACCACAGCTTAATGCAGTGGTTCTAGTGTCTGTAGCCTGTACCTGCAGGCTTTTCAATGTAAACACTGCCTTTTCAGAAAAAAAGGCAGTGTTTCCATTGCTGCCTAGTAACACCTCTAGTGACAGTCACTAGAGGTTCTTCGAAGTCCAGTGCGGCACAGTGTGCAGCAACTACGTTCAACATCTCCATGCTCTGCATGGAGGCGCTGAATGTTCCCTATACAGATGCATTGGTTCAATACATCTCTATGAAGATATGCTGATTGACACAGTGCTGCGTTTTACCACGCATGCACCATAGCCTCCCAATGCTTTCCTGTGAGAAAGCATTGGACAGGCTGAGATCATCAAGATTGATGGTCTCAGCCATGGAGGCAGGACCGGCACTGCGTGAAAAAAAAAAAAAAAAAAAAAAATTATCACACACACACAAGTTTTTTTTTTTTTTTTTTTTTTAATTTAAGCCCACCCAGCCTCTACTTTTGGGAGAGCTAGAGTGAATTCTTTCCCTGGAATCCCGTGGGACTGATGTAATCTTCCTGCTCTTCTTCCTCGTGCTCCATTTAATGATGCCTGGGCCAGATGAATGTAATATTCCAGCTCCCGGCATCACAGCAGGATGTGCGAGAGAGTAGAGCAGGAAGATAATAGCTCCCTTGTATGGAAAGGATCCTCTCCAGCTCTCCAAAAGGTAGGGAGGTTGGGTGGATAAAAAAAAAAAAAATGAATAATTTATGAATGTATGAGAGAATATGTGGGTGGGTGTTTGTCTGTCAGTATGTGTGTGAATAAGTTTGTCTGTCAACCAGTCAGTGAGTGTGTGTTTATTTAGGTGACCGGTTCCCCTCCGATCTCCTGGGAAAGATTTTTTACTCACCTTTTTTTCCCACGCTATGCTGGTCTCGCTCAATTTCCCATAGGATAGGGCTGGGAGATTTTTGCACATGTGGGGCGAAACGCTCTGCTGCGCCAATCAGCATCTCCTCATAGAGATGCATTGAATCAGTGCATCTCCATGTGGAACATTCAGCAACACCAGGTAGAGCGTGGAGACACTGAACAGCACTGGACTGGATCACTAGAGGTGTTACTAGGCAGCAATGTAAACACTGCATTTTGTCTGAAAACACAGTTTTTAACATTGAAAAGCCTGCAAGGCTAGGCTGTATATACCAGAACCACTACATTAAGCTGTAGTGGTTCTGGTGACAATAGTGTCCCTCTAAGGATAGTATTTTGTCATCAAAAATAATGCTTTGTTAGTTTAGGAAAAACCTTGCTCCTAACTTTTTTAGCTGGCTCTTAAATTCCAAGCCCTGATGTAGAAGTTAAAGTGTTTGCAGCAAGAGCTTTTACTAGTAAATGAGTAATTGCACAGGTCTACCAATGATTATTGGATTACCACAGATCTCAGACTGCTTGTAATAGTCAGTCTATCAATTAAAAGCATATATTTCAACACATTAGAATAAAAAATAAAAAAGTCACTTCTGAATGTCCATTTAACTTACCCAAAACATTTCAATATATTTACCCTAACATCACCATTATGCTCAGTTGCACTCCTGTTGTGTATGGCAGGACTGGGAAACATACTGGCTCATTACAGCTCCACATTTATTAAAGAACTGGTTAAACAAATCTAAAATTTGTGTCAAACACTTACAGTACTATAGGGGTTATTGTGAGGAACTTTCTAGAAGAGGTGAACTGGATACCATAGTCCATCTGCTCCCAGTGAGTCAAGAGCCTTGCCTTCCCCTGGTCAGGAGTCTCAAAGGGGGTACCTTTCACAGTGTGCAGGAACACATACATAATCTGGTGGCAGAGAGTTGCATACAGAAGTGAGCAAGAGCCGGTAACATTAATACTTTTTATACAAATATAAAAGACACAACATATCATCCCTCTTTATATACTAAAGTATTTGTGAACCAGATGCAATGAATATCGTCTATGGTTTATTAAAAAGGGCAGGCAACCTTCGGCACTCCAGATGTTATGGACCACATCTCCCATAATGGTTTCCTAACATCATAGCTATAAGAATGCTGAATGGTGCCTACCACTGGTTTATATTAACAGAAATAAGATAGAGCCGCTGTGGTTGAATAGTGCATGCAAGGTAACAGTGATGAAAACTCTGTTAAAGGTCTCTAACTTTCCATAATATACCAAGGATTGAAGATGAGAATCACAGTTACAAACTGTACCATTGCCTGCAAAAGCAATAATCTGTGACAAGTTATGGTGTGAATTATTATGAAAGAAAAATATATAAAATGTATGCCAAGTGTGTCATATTGTACACTTTGCCATAATAATATATATTACTGAATACATATAATTACCAAATCAAGGCTACAAATGTATCAATATTTTTGAAAGCCTGGAAAAAAGACAAAAAATGAAATAAAAAAAAACAAAACAAAAGATATGTAACTACCACTGCAACATACACAACAGTTTCATTAGAGGCTGAGAGGGAAAAACAAAAAACTAATCTAAAGACAACACTTGAATGTGAAAAAACTCACTATTTTCTAGGCACCCTCTTTCTAAAATAAATAAATTAGATAGATAACCATATAAATAGATATAGATTGCTATATAAATATTTAAAATAGAAAAAATCAAGTAAAAGATGGCGCTATAAAATTAGTACTAGTGAAAAATCTTATAAAAGATCACAAAAAGGCTAGCAAGCACTAGTAAAAGTGAAAATCGCTCTAAAAACACTTTAATGTATAAGAAAAGAAAAAAGTGCGCTGTGCCTTTAAGTGTTAAGTTAACAGTATTTACAACCTGTGAACAATTAATACAATAGAACAACATTGAAAAAAAGTGCAAATACAATATATTAAAGTGCAAAAAGGTTTATCCAATTTTCCAGTGTGTGTGAATTTTGTGCACTTTGTGAAATTAAGGAAAAAGCACTTGAAGAAACTAACATATTGAACCAACAAGAATTGATTTCCAAACACAACACTACAAAAAAATCCTAATTTAATGCCCTTGGTTTTAGATTTTAATAATGATAATAGGAAAGTTAAATCCATTATAAATAGACACTGGCACCTTCTTAAAAAAGATAAAGAACTATCAAAAGTTATTCAAGACAAACCTTTTATTACAATTAGAGGAGCACCAAGCCTTAAACGTATGCTAACTTTTAACCACCCTAAACCAAAAGCATCTACCACCTTTCTAAAAAATAATAAAGGTTTTTATTCATGTGGAAAATGTGTGGGATGCAATAAAAATAAAACTTTAAAACAAAGCAGATTTCCAAATAAATGATTTTTTAACTTGTTTTAGTAAAAAGCTTATTTATCTTTTAATTTATCTGTGCGGATTACAATACGTTGGCCGGACTATTCGTCCTCTCCACAAAAGAGTGTACGAACATGTTAATAATATTAAAAAGGGTTTTGAACAGCAGAGTGTTTCAGCTCATTTTAAAAGATATCATAAACAAGATCCAAGTGATTTAACAATTTTAGGTATCCAGATAGTTAAAGAGTCTTGGAGAGGTGGTAATTATATTTTAGACATTGGGAAGGAATAAATGAAATGGGTACATAAATTAGGTACCCTAGAGCCCAATGGACTGAATATAGAATTTGATTTATATAATTTCCTATGATGCCATCAGCCCTAGAATATTCATAGGTTGTCTATTTACTGTTTTAGTTTTATTTTACTCGCATCTTTTTATTCATTATTTATTATTTTTTATTTAATTTTTATTCCTATCTGCATGTGCACTGGGATTTTTAATCATATTTATTGGTTCCTACATTTAGTATGCTCTCTAAGATATATTTTAAATGAAGTAATTTTGATATCTTTCTCTCCCACATAGTAGGATGGAATTGCCCTTATATTTGTATTAGACCCTGTTATTATTTCACTGATTGGCATTATAAGTTTGTTTCTGTTTCTATATTTTAATTCTTATAAAAGAAGGACCCTTTTATCATTATGTATACAATATTTAATGAAGTGGACTTTTTTTTACAAAGAGACAAGGCAATATGCCCTCCAGTCCATAGACTCTCTTGTAAGCTTGTATCAGGACTAATTATGTGCAATTGAAGAGGCTACCACGCCTACACAGACGGGTATATATTCCAAGAGATGGCAACCACCCAAACGTGATCTGAGAAAGCCGCCCAGGCGAAACGCGTCATCACGCAATCCGACGCACGACGTGAGTACGTGCCACAAGCACCTACTATTCCCGGAAGCGCCCGACCACTGGAAGACCGCAAGTGCATGCCGCGAGTCAGAAGTGGGAGCTATATACAATAGCTTTTCAGGAAGAAGGTCTTTTCTTTTATACTTTGTATTAATAAAAGGATTAACTTTTATTTCGTTGCCATCCTGTTTACTTCAAGTACATCATCCTTCTGCTTCGACAGAGTCCTGCAGATAGGACAAGAAAGCGCTTCAAGTTAGAGCAGACTTTATACTGCTCTACCATTGTGAGTTGTTAATTTTCCTACTTTATTGATTATAATTATACAGATTTACACTATATTGTGTTTCTTATTTCTTAATTTTTCTGCTTATATGTGGAGCAATTTGAAGAGAAATACTCGTTCAAATCTTCTTTGTTCCTACACTTTGAGGAGTAAGTGTTTTTTGCCTAATTTCAAAGTGCACAAAATTCACACACAGTGTGTAAAATTGGATAAACCTTTTTTGCACTTAAATATATTGTATTTGCACTTTTTTCACTGTTATTCTATTGTATTAATAATTGTTCACAGGTTGTAAATACTGTTAACTTAGCACTTAAAGGCACAGCGCAGTTTTGTTTTGAATATTTATATAAGAAAATAAAAAGTATGCAAATTAAAATATTTATGAAAACCAAAATATACTAATCCACTACACTTATGCAAATCAAGCAATAGGTGCAGGATCCAAGAAAACCCACTCTACAAGGGTAAACATAAAATGTAAATGAGCAATAAAGCAGGAATCCACACACAAAATGCAGATATCCATTTCTAATAAAAAAAATTCAGTTTTTTTTATGAAATGTAAAAAACAAACAAACAAACAAAAAAAAACATACTGTAATATATGTAATCTGTACATGGTACCGATTCAGGTGAACACAATTTAATAAATAAAAAGATAAGAGAACACAGAGCAGTCAAACAAGCTCAAAGTATAAACATGAAATCAATAGTGCAAAGCATAATAAGTTAGCTATCCTAAAACGCAGACTTGTAGGAGTATAACAGAAAATAAATAGACATATACCTTTGTACAAAGGACAGAGGCTCCAGAATACTATAATATCAGAATATGTAAACCTGACTCTAAAAAAAAAAAAAACCACATTGTATTGTGACAAGTAGTCTTTTTTGTTGTGTATTTAAAAAAAAAAAAAGGAGTATAAAACACAAATTAGGGTAGATCTCACTCACTGCAAAACAGTATGTTTGTGGACTCCTCTGGATGAGTCCCTTGTGGAGGGCAGAGATATTCCATAACAAATGCAAAGGAAAGTTTGTTTGTTATGGCACTGTCGAATCTTATCAGGCAGTAGGCACCCAGAAACTAAGCTTCCTGGTGGCACGTGGAAATAAGACCCAAGCAGAGAAGAGTGCAGACCCCTTCGGTCCTTCAAGAGTTTTGTGTGGCTTTTTAGCGTCAGGTTTAGCTATGATATTATTGTATTCTGGAGGCGATCCTTTGTACAGCATGAGCAGTCAACAGTATATGTCAATTTACTTTAGAAACAGCCTATGTGTCAGGATCTTTACATTGTTATGCTCTGCACAGTTGATTACATGATTATAGTTTGAGCTAATTTGTCAGCTCTCTGTACTCTTATTTTTTTTTATTATTCACATGCATTCCATGTATCAATTACATAGATTATTGTATCCTTTTTTCTTCTGTTTTGCAGCAGTTAAAAAACAGCAGAAAAAAAAAATATATATATACCCAGCAATATTCTTAATTAGAAATTAAACATTTATATCTGAATTTTGTGTTAGGATTACCTAATTTCCTAAAATATTTATGACTCATTGCTCCAGTGCACGGCTGAAAAGGTAAAGTTATAAAGGTTTTATAAAAATCACTTACCTTTTATGCTGAGGGCTTTTCTACATTGTGCAGTTTGAGAATTATCAAATTCGCCAAAACATTTAGATGTTTCAGCATTATTAACCTGTCTATGACATATAGTTAGAAAATGTGCTCTACTCCACAGCAATACTATTTAAAAATCACTGTTAATGAGCCAGTAGCTAACAATGAAATACTTACAAGATTATGGATGACATTAGTTAGAGTCCAGACAACTGGAACACTGAAGAAGGGGAAGCTTAAGAGGATTATATGAAGAAATGCCACTAAGATAATGTAGGCCAGCCATATTCCTCGGCTATTCAGCACTCGTGTGTTGGGGTTTACCTCACTGTGAGCAACCCCAACATTCATTCTAAAAAGGGAAACAAATATGAAACATTAACATACAGAGAAAATATTCAATATTAAAACCGCATCAGTAATTAGAGGGACACTATAAGCACCAAAACAACTTTGGCTTAAAGGAACACTATAGTCACAAGAACCACTACAGCTTAATGTAGTGGTTCTGGTATCTATAGCCTATTCATGCAGGCCTTTCAACGTAAAAGCTGCATTTACAAAGAAAATGCAGTGTTAAGATAGGTGCCTAGTAACACCTCTAATGGCAGTCCCTCAACAGCCACTAAAGATGCTTCCTATATTGCTCTGCATGGAGAAGCTGAACGCGATGCATTGACAATGCATCTCTACGAGGAGGTGCTGATTGACACAGAGCAGCTTTTAGCCGCGCATGCACAATAGCCTCCCAGTGATTTCCTATGGGAAAGCGGGGCCAGTCGCATTGAAGGAGAAAAGGTGAGTGGAAATCCCTTTCTGAGGGTGGTTGGACATGTAAACAGGACCTTCAGCGGCATAATGTTAGGAATACATGTTTGATCCTTACTACAGTGTTTCTATAATAGAGTGATTTTCATGTGCAGCTCATGCCCCTGCAGTCTCACAGCTCGATTCTCTGCCATTTAGTAGTTTAATTGCTTTGTTTATGCAGTCCTTGTCAAACCTACTCTGCATGTGGCCTACACATTTCCTGTAGAAAGCGATCTAATCTTTAAAGGAACACTATAGGGTCAGGAGCACAAACATGTATTCCTGACCTTATAGTGTTAAAACCATCATCTATCCCTCTGCCTCCCTAACTATAGTAAAAGCTTACTTGTATTCAAGTTGGCAGCTGCTGCCTATGCCCCTAATCTGCCTGCTTGGCTGACATTATCAGAAGTGATTCTGTGAAACAATCACAGTGCTTTCCCACAGGATTGGCTGAGACTGTCGAGAAGGCAGATCAGGGGCAGAGCCAACGAAAGTCAAATACAGCCCTGGCCAATCAGCATCTCATCATAGAGATACATTGAATCAATTCATTTCTTTTGTTTGTCAATCAAGTTTTTTTTTTATTGCGGTATAGTATAGTAGTAGTACAGAAGAAAGGAATTAAAGTTAGTACATATGTTTACATGACCGGATATAATGTACGGAATGCAGTAGGTAAATAACATCTGATCTAAACAACCTCATTTTTTAAGTATTAATGTGATACAGGCTGACAAGGCAGACACGGTCATCTTAGATATTTAGCTGTACTAATGGGCATGGAGGGTATGCTGGGCCTACAAGATTACATCGGTAAGCATCGGATTACATCGGTGATAAACACTGACATGCTATACTAGGCTAAGCTGCAGTGTTAAGTAAATAGGTAATTCCTGCTATACAGTGAGAAGTGCTAATACGTTTATCTACAAGTAGAACCAATGTATTTTCTGGGTTCACAAAATTAAATCTGAGATAGGATGCCACACGGACTTTGTAGTTTATTTACTGCAGCGTCTGTGTGGCAAACAGTACATTGGACGTACGAAGAGAATTCTCAAAGTCAGGGTCTTAACAATATCAAGAAAGGTCTTAAGACTAGTGATGTCCCGAACGGTTCGCCGCGGACTCATCATTGAGTAAAGTTTGAAACCTGAACCTCACAGTCAGCAGACACATTCCAGCCAATCAGTAGCAGACCCTCCCTCCCAGACCCTCCCACCTCCTTGCTCACTAAGAATGCAGCTTCACAATGAATGTAAAATGGATGCTCTTTTATAAATTATTTATTTTTGAAATTTTTTCCATTTAATTTCTTTTTTTGGGGGGGACGGGGTACAGAAGAGAAAAAGGGAAGGGGGTGGGGTTGCAGTTGTTGGTACAGATTTCTTTTAGTGAGCGTTTTGCAAACATTTTCATTTCGTATATGGTTTCTCAGTTCACTGTGCTTGTCGCGGATGTATTTTTGGTAGGCAGGTGGTGGGGGGGTTTTACATAAGAGAAAGGGAGGGAGGAGTTCCAGGTACAATTCTATGTTCATTCTGTTGCGGTTCTGTGTTTGTACTGACTGGTTCGAATTGTGTGAACCCGTGTCTTTTGGTGCCAGTGTGCCTGGTTGCCGGTTGTACCCTGGGTTGTTACTAAGTGGTAAGCTTCTTGCCTCTTGATGCAGGAAGAGGTCACTTGGGTTCGGCCTGTGCTGTGGACTGTTCTCGTAGGCGGGGTGCTGGACTTTGTGACCAGTTATTGGTATGTGTGGGGGAGGGGGCTGGGAGATGGGAGCTACAATGGGATGGTCGGTTCTTGGTGATGAAGGGGTGTGTGCTCTCTCATGTGCCCTCCATACATTTGCTGCGTTTCAGCTGCTTGGTCGGGGACAAGGAACGGGGGCCATTCGGTCGTTATTTGTTTTGGTTTACCTTACAAGGTTTTGGTTTCGGGCTGTGGGAATGTGGTCTGTGCCCGTGTCGGTTGTGGTGTTTGTGCCTTAAGGCTGCTTATTTTCGGGGGCCTGGTGTTCTGTTGCCCTGTCTCTAGGCTGGTGTTTGTCTTGGAGGTTGGGCGTCCCCTTGGTCGGTGCCGACCCTCAGGATCGTGTTGGTCTGTGGGTTAGGGTCAGGGGTCTGGCGTTGGGCTGTTTCCTGTCTTGCCCCCTCCTTTTCCGGTGTCAGGGGAGGGTTGAGGGAGGTAGGGGGTGTGAGTGGTTTCCCCCCCCGGCCGTCCGCCTGCGCCCACCGGGTCCCCATTGGGTCACATCATCTCTCTTTAAGCAGATATACATCATTTTTCCCTCTATCAATTATTTCCTATCATGCATTCCTTCTGGCGACCATTAGATGGACACATTGTTTCATTCATTCATTCCACAGTGGAACGCACTGCCATATGGGCTTTTATGGTACAAGGCTACAGTTAATGGAATGCAAAAATGAATATGTGGAACCGATTCTGTTTACCAACAGGTGATTTAATTTTGGCCGAGACAAGGGAAAATTATTTTGGATCCCCTACAGGTAAATAGGGGCTGCAAGTGAACCAATCAGGAACACAGATGAAAGATAACACCCACGGAACCACCAATGGACGTAGGGATTAGCCGTATTTAAAGGGACTTGGTGGGGTTTGTAAGTCTGCTTTGTTTCAATATTTGTAAGTAAGTCGCAGGCTCCAAAGTTTTGTACCGCAGGGGCCCCAAAACTCCAGATCGTGGAGGCTACGGTAGCGCCCACCTTCTCCTGTGCATTTTAGCAGACTACTCTGTCCGATTATTAGTGGTAGGTTCATAATTTCTGCCATTTAGCTTAAAATCAGCAGGAGCCTCTGCGGTATGCGGCCGGTCAGGCCCCACCTCCCAAATCAATTCATTTCTATGAGAAAAGTTCCATGTTTCCATGCATAGGATGAAGACACTGAATGTCAGTACTGCACACTGTGTAGCACTGCCCCAGGAAGCACCTCTAGCAGCCATTTGAGGAGTGTCCAGTAGAATTATCACTAGGTTGTAATGTAAAGGACAGATTCTAGTCACCAGAACAAATACAATAAGTTGTAGTCGTTCTGGTGACTATAGTGTCCCTTTAAACCTCCTTTACATCATTGTCTGTTTAATTTAGAATGTCTTATCTCATGCTCTGTTATAGCCTGCTAGAGCCTCAAGTATGTGATTACATTTCAATTAACAGAGCAGGAGATGAAAACTTCTCAAGTATACAACCTGTAATGTCAGATCTGATTAAAAATTAAACCAATTAAAACCATGTAGGCTATATGTGAGCCACAGCCAATTAAGGTGTGACTAGGGCTGGATAAACAAAAGTGATTGAACTACTAAATGGCAGAGCACCGAGCAGGGGCATGATCTAGAGACTAAAACTGCTGTATTAAGTTAAAGATGTTTTGAGATTTAGAATATCCCTTTCAAAGTAGACTTGTGCAAAAATGTGTTTCAGCCGGTGTCTACAAACCAAAATCCATTTAATACACATCAGAACAAATGGATTTGTCAGGGATTGATCATTGAACAAGACTCTACAGGTAAATCCTGGACAACTCGATTTGTTCAAGTATGGATTAAGAGCAGGAAAATTAGGTCAAAACCTATGAAATGCACAAGAGTAGTCATGTTGCCCAGTGTTTAACTAAAACAAACACTCTACTAAAACCAAAGATGCAGTCCTTTTACTCAGTCAACGTCTGTTTACATTATGTAAAGAACATGCCTCTAGTGGATATCAGACAGGTGTGTTCTTTGACCTTTAATTTCAACGGTCATCATGTTCGTCTTCACCATGTAGACGTAGAGCATGACGACTCTAAACACGGCTCATAAATAAGCAGTGGATTCAATGCTTCTCTACGAGAATCATAGGATTGAAGGAGCATGACTATTTTCGCAGGTCTGCAAAACTTTACTAGGATAATCAACTGATTGGATCAGAGGTCATTAAACCAGAGAATTACACCAGAGATGTAGCAGCTGCTGCAAGGAGACTGTCCCAATGCTAAATTACAGGAACTTTTAAAGGCTTCTTTCCAGCCCCATTTTTGGGGATGGAACCTAAAGATAAAGAAAGTCGATGGTGTTTTATACCGATCATTACACACCAGCCACAAACAGCTGGTCAATGCAATTTCAGTGAATAACTCACCTTTACAGCATAGGCCCACTGTACAACATAAAGCTAATAAAAAATTAACTACAAAAACGCCTGAAATGGTTGCTATAACACTTTTTCACCTAAAGGATTTCAAAGCTAATAATGCCTTTTTTTGCCACTATAACAATTATCCACTACCATTTTTTTATTCATATAAAAAAATAAAAATAAAATAAAAACCACTTTACCTGGAACGCAGCACCGGTTGAAGCTCCTTTGCTGGTATCAGAGTTCACGCAGAAACACTGCACATACAGATTCCTGCCACCGTGACCACTTCTAAAAGCAGAAGTGGTCATGGTAGTTGGAGTAACCCTTTAAAATTTACAAAAACCAAGGTCTAAAAGCTTATAATTAGTTAAAAATCTTAGGAGCTTACATAACCTATTAGTTTAGTTTTCCCTAACAATTTTTGTATTCAATAAGTAGCGTAATTCTGTTAGTCTCAACTATTTGAGCAGCCATTTCTTGCAAAGAATCCCACAAAAAAAAACAAACAACCTTTTTTTTCTGATGCTTAGTACATATCATTAACAACTTAACATATTGTAATATGCTAAAATAGTTTTTAGGTAGCAATGAGCACATTTTATTGTTATAAGGCAGAAAATTAGAATAACGTAATATGTTAACTTGTTTTGTCCCCAACTGAGGACACGCTTGTTCTTGCTGAATAAATAATGAAGTACCACCTGATGCTTTATTATGCAAACTAAGTTAACCATAGCACCCCTGCATGTGTAATGTATGAATATTTAAGTGGTATTAAAATAGCTTTATAGCTTGTTGTACTGGCACCCCTTCTTTCACTGTATGCAAATTCAGTGTTTTTATATACAAACTAGTTACTGTTATTTACTAAAGCAAAAATTCATAGTGAATTTCAAATTTAAAGACAGAGAAACCAAACTGAAAATAAAACCTACTTAAAATATTCCTAGTTCATTTTTTTTTTTTTTTATCTTAAATTTGAAATTCACATTTTAGTGAGTATTTTTTTTAGTCATATAGGGTTATTCAGTAAAATGAGAATTCAAAGTGAATTTCAAATTTAGGACAAAATTGAGCCAACTGTAAGCATAGCTGACTTTTTTTTCTGGTTTCTCTATTTTGACCTTAAATTTGAAACTCACTTTGAATGCACTTTAGTGAATGATTCTGGTATGAGTGCATTGATATTATTATTATTATGATATTTATAGAGCACCGTCAAATTCCACAGCGCTTTACAATGGGTGGACGAACAGACATGTAATTGTAACCAGGCAAGTTGGACACACAGGAACAGAGGGGTTGAGGGCCCTGTTCAATGAGCTTACATGCTAGAGGGAGTGGGGTAAAATGACACAAAAAAGGTAAGGATAGTATTAGACTAATGACAGTTGCAGAAGATGAATCAGTCAGGAGCTATTAACAGTTTAATTGATATGCTTTTATGAAGTGGGTTTTTAACGATTTTTTGAATGAGTGGCGACTGGGTGAGCATCTAACGGAGGAGGGAAGCGAGTTCCACAGGAACGGTGCAGCCCTCGAGAAATCTTGAAGGCGAGCATCACAGGTGGGAGTACGGACAGAAGATAGACGTAAGTCTTCAGCAGATCGTAACGGCCTAGATGGGACATACTTGTGTATAAGGGAGGATAGATAGGTGGGAGCAGCATTATGTAGAGATTTGAAAGCAAGAACCAGAATATTCTATAGGAAGCCAATGTAGGGATTGACAGAAGGGTGAGGCATGGGAGGTGCGGGCGGACAGGAAGATGAGCCTTACCGCCGCATTCATTATGGACGGCAACGGCGCTAGTTAGCATGTAAGACCACTGAGAAGCGGATTACAGTAGTCAAGGCGAGAAAGGACAGTGGAATGGCCCAACACCTTAGTCGCATCTGGCGTTAAGTAGGGACGGATGCGCGCAATGTTTTTGAGATGGAAATGACAGGATTTGGCGATAGATTGAACATGAGGCTTGAAGGAGAGGTCTGAGTTAAAGAGAACACCTAGGCAGCGAGCTTGAGTGGTGGAGCTGATGGTAGCACCGTTGACTTGGAGGGAGACAGACACAGGAGTAACAACACTTGAGGGAGGAAAGACCAGAATTTCAGTTTTGGTCAAAATTAGTTTAAGGAAATGAGCAGCCATCCAGTTAGAAACAGCAGAGAGGCAGTCAGAGACACTAGTCAAGAGGGACGGGGAGAGATCAGGTAGATTTGCGCGTCATCTGCATAGAAATGATATTAGAAGCCAAATATAGGGGCCAAATCCAAGCAAGGGTCTTACTCTAATAGATTAATGCAAAGTGGACTCAAAAGGACAATCTGAGCTCCACAACCACTTAATCATAAGGTGCCTGGCACCAGCCTGCTTTTAACGGTTAAACAGTTAATGAACGGTTTAAAGTGAACCGGTCACGAAAAAACCAAAAAACTAACTTACCTTAAAATTGGCCTAAAAAAAAAATAAAAAATTCACAAATATACTTTCATGTAAAAGATGAATATAGTCCTCCAGCCTCCATTCCACGTGGACACTTTTGAACAGCTCGTGAACGGTTTCACCTCTCAAGGGAAGCTGGCACACAAGACATCCCAGCACCACAAGAACTTCATTCAGATTTAGTTGTTATGCTGCTAGGCTGTACCGGACTGCTCAGCCAGTGTCTAAATAGTGTTCCTACCAAGGCTGGGGAGTTTACAGCAATTTTGGGTTACAGGTGTTATTGTATATGCAGATATGTAAATCTAACCCCCCTGCCCTATCAGAGGAGTTATATAGGTTTAGGCTTATATTCACATGATAAATAGACCCCCAAAATAATGTGCCATGTCCTAGTCTCCTAAGTTGTTATGGTGCCTGGAGTGTCCTTTCAAGGATATCTCTGTAGTTTGCGTTATCTAGCTTTCTATCTACTCTGCCCAATCTTCTGGTCCAATCACGTCTGAAAAACACCCTTAAAAGCATAATGCTAAAACAACACTTAAAGGGACACTATAGTCACCCAGACCACTTCAGCTCAATGAAGTGGTCTGGGTGCCATGTCCCACAGGTTTTAACCCTTCAGATGCTATGTTTACATTTGGGGTTAATCCAGCCTCTAGAGGCGCATCTGCGAAATGCTTTCCTATGGACACTGCAGTGCATGCGGCTCAGCTGACGTCGGCAGAGGGAGCCCGGCACTGGAATAAGGTAAGATGCTGAAGGGGTTTTAACCACTTCAGCGCCACGTGAGGGGGACCCTGAGGGTGGGGGCACCCTCAGAGCACTATAGTGTCAGGAAAACCGCTTTGTTTTCCGGATACTATAGTGATCCTTTAACTGCTGGGATGATACTGCACCAGTTATTCTCCAGACATAACACTTTCAATTGAAGCCAAACAGTTCAATCTTTGTTTTAGCAGATATTAGCTGCATTTTGGTCTTTAATGGAAAAAACAAAAAACAACACTTAAAATAGCAGGCAATTCACACTTCAGTGAGTAAGCCTGATAAGGTATTGATGACGTTACTACTTGATCCTTATTTTTCTACAGAGCACCGCAATTATGGCATAACCTCATGGACACAACCAAATCTTCCCCTCAGTCTAACATCCTTTTAACCCCTCAAGGACACATGACATGTGTGACATGTCATGATTCCCTTTTATTCCAGAAGTTTGGTCCTTAAGGGGTTAAAGAGATCTCTGTCAACATATCTCAATACAGAATGCACCTGTAATCATGGGTGATTACATTTCTTACCAGTTTCCGGGTTACATGTGTGTGTGTGTGTATTTAAATAGAATTTTGAATGGTTTCCTCTTATATTGTATCCTATTGTAACAGTGCAGTGTTTGCGGACCCAGGACATGCTTGAAAATTTCACAAGTATCTTTCCTGGTAAAATATTTCATAAATCAGTAAGTGCAGTCTGAGCCAGGCCCAGCCAGCGCCGTGGAGATCAATGGTGGCAATGTTGTTGGATTTGACCACCTTTCCAGCCGAATGTGCCACACAGTGACCGAGACTCAAACTATGATACAGTATGAGCCCCACCCCCCGGCGTGATCCCATGATCCCACCGAGCTCACAGCGCAGGACGGCAGTCTGTGTGAAGCCTAGCGCTCAGCACTCAGTAACAGCCTATAGATCGGTGTGTTCTCGATTCGCTCATTAAGGTTAACGCGATGCTTCCCAGCTCGAAACGTTACCGAGCCCCGCCATTATATTGCCATTTCCTTCACCAACCTGTAGCAGGGTCCGCCGCCTGTCACCGGTTTCCAGGAAACAGCACCACTTCCGCTACAGCGTGCACGCCCTTCCGCCGGAGGTTTCATCCTCCGACAAAATGGCGGAGTTCTTCGCCCCAACCCTACAGCGAAGGCGTCTTCGCCACGCGACCGTTGCCAAGTGACGTCACGTAAGGACCGCGCTCCGATTGGTTCGACGGATATCGCGTCGTGACGATTGTCTGCGTTCATTGGTTCCCGCTGTTCTCCACACTAGAGTAAAGTACACAGGCGGGCGACGTAGATTGGTCAGACTGTTACCAGTAAATCCCCGCCCTGTTTCCTGGTGTAAGTTTTGTTACTTTTTATTTTATTTATTTTCCTTTCGGCTTTATTCGCAGCTCGGTTTGCTGACGCGCTGCTGCTCTGCGAGACACTCGGGCAAGTCGCGTTAATCGAGGAGACACCGCAGGCAGAGTCCGGACTCCCGCGCTTTGTTTTGGACGATACGTCACGCGTTCGACCGACCAATCGCCGGAGCCCGTGCTGAGTGAGCGCACAGTCTGCGGGAGGAAGAAAGATGGCGGACGTGGTGGAGATCCACAAGCTGAAGGTACTTATAGCTAACAGGCGGGGAGTGTACCGGATCGCGGTATTTATTATTCACCCTCTCCCTCCCCGTATAATATAATATAATACACCGCGTGTGACATGGACAAGGTGACGGCATGCTGGCACTCCGGGCTGGGGGCTAGTAGAAAGGCTGAGCAGGAGGCCAGGCATGAGCTGAGCATGGCCAGATAGCACAGATAGCACAGGATCCATACTGTACATAGCGCACATTATTATTATTATACTGTACAGAGCGCACATTATTATTATACTGTACAGAGCGCACATTATTATTATTATACTGTACATAGCGCACATTATTATTATTATACTGTACAGAGCGCACATTATTATTATTATACTGTACATAGCGCACATTATTATTATTATACTGTACATAGCGCACATTATTATTATTATACTGTACATAGCGCACATTATTATTATTATTATTATACTGTACAGAGCGCACATTATTATTATACTGTACAGAGCGCACATTATTATTATTATACTGTACAGAGCGCACATTATTATTATTATACTGTACATAGCGCACATTATTATTATTATACTGTACAGAGCGCACATTATTATTATTATACTGTACATAGCGCACATTATTATTATACTGTACAGAGCGCACATTATTATTATTATACTGTACAGAGCGCACATTATTATTATACTGTACAGAGCGCACATTATTATTATTATACTGTACAGAGCGCACATTATTATACTGTACATAGCGCACATTATTATTATTATTATACTGTATTATTATTATACTGTACAGAGCGCACATTATTATTATTATACTGTACAGAGCGCACATTATTATTATTATACTGTACAGAGCGCACATTATTATTATTATACTGTACATAGCGCACATTATTATTATACTGTACATAGCGCACATTATTATTATTATACTGTACAGCGCGCACATTATTATTATTATACTGTACATAGCGCACATTATTATTATTATACTGTACAGAGCGCACATTATTATTATTATACTGTACATAGCGCACATTATTATTATTATACTGTACATAGCGCACATTATTATTATTATACTGTACATAGCGCACATTATTATTATACTGTACAGAGCGCACATTATTATTATTATACTGTACAGAGCGCACATTATTATTATTATACTGTACAGAGCGCACATTATTATTATTATTATTATACTGGTATTACTGGGGGCAGTGTATGGCTCTCAGTGAGATATTATAAACATCACCGTTTGCCCTCACCCTCTCTGTTAAGTGGTGTATAAGATGAACACTTGCAGTGGAAGAGAAATAACAGGGATTTTATTGAGCATTCAAAGTGAATTTCATTTTTTTTATTTTTTTGCCCAAAATAACTAAAAATAATTGAAAGCAGTTTGTGAATTTTCCAATTCAGTTATTTTGGCCTAAAATGAATGTGTTTTGTGGTTTTTCTGTTTTGGAGTATTTATTTTGTTTGTTTTCTTCATATTTATTTATTTGTTTGTCTTGCAATTCAAGTGCCACTTCGAATTGTAAAGTTTAGGTAACAAGTGTTGATTTGGAGAGGGAAAAAATAATAATTTTGGCTATTGTCAGATTGTGGCTTATTTAGTCGTTTGCCCATTTTTAAAAATTTTTTTTTTTTTTGTATTATTGATTTTAGTTTGCTGATGTCTAGTTGTTTCACAGATATATATCAAAGTTTACTCTAGTTTTAAATGTTGTATTTTGAAGCATGTACACAAGTTGGCATTGGTCTATCAGACTTTTTCCTGTCTCACTGCTAATGATTTTGGTCGCCCTGCATTCAACCGCTCAGCTGTTGTGCTATAATTCTTGGCAACACAATGTAGCTGATTCTGAAGGGATAAGTGTGTCACTGTATTCAACTCATTTTTATAACTTTGTTACTGTGCATTGTTTGTTGATAGTTAATGTACCATAGATGCTATATGTGCAAACTAATACAATATGTAGTGTTTTTATCCTTTCTTAAACTTTGTAGCTAATTGACACAAGAACTGCACATGGTAGTGTATAATAAAATGTAATTGTTTTGACAGTTTATTGTAATTTACGCACCAGTGTTATGAAATGTGCGAATTTCATATTTTTGGCCAAAATGCTGAATTTTTAAATTCTACAATTTAAAATCTACTTTGAATTCTAAATATTTGACACTTTAGTAAATAGTGTCAGTGTGCACATGTATGCCTAAAAGAAACGGACATCCAGTAGTGCAGTATGTCTAAAATCCAAAGGGTAAAATAGTAGTATTAGGTAGAAAACGCACCTTTAAAAGAGCTATGACCAGCTCTGGTGTGAAGGTCGTACAACTGTATAATCCCCGCTGCTAGGATGTGTAAAGGAAATGCGTCTATCAGCGCCGTCTGGTGATCTGAAGCTCCAGGGGAAATAAAGAGGCGAAAATAGTGCTCTCAATTGGATAAAAGTAAGTAAAAGTAACTAGAGTAAAACTTCCAGGTGTAGAGCACAAAATACTGCTCTATTAATAAGGCGTTGGTGGTATGATCCCCACCTGGGATTTCTTTAAGTGCAGGAACAATAATAAAAAGCCAGGAAAGTTAAAAATAGTAAAAGTGCATAAAAATACAATAAAAAGAGAATTGGCACAATTAATCTAAAATACGCAGTATAAAATCACCATTACGCGTTTCACCAAAAAGGCTTTCTCAAATGGCATAAAGAATATTCAACCTGGCTAGTGGGAGTTTATATAGGGTAAAGATTAATGTAAAATTGCATCATACACTGTCATCTAATCAGAAAAGATCAACATTTTATACATTATAAAAAAGGCAAACATTATGTATAGATAGATATAGGGTTATAAATCCCTACTGTTATATTTGAAGTTTAAAAAGAGCATTTTGTGATGAGTTTCGGCTGTTTAAAGGATTACCCGGCTGCTAGGTGTGATGTGAAATGTAGTTCCCAGTCTTTCCGCATCACCTGCCTCCAGTTCCCAGCTTTCAGTGTTGCGCCAGAGCATCGACCAGGAGCCGCCGCGGTGCAAGGTACGGATTGCGACTTTGGCAGGAGTGTCTGGATGATCCTCACCGCTGAGGGGGGAGAGGACAAGATAAGATATGCGGGAACCAGCTGACGGTTCGGCCGCCCCACTCACGGTCACTGTGAGTCCACCTCCTGAGAATGCCACCGCTCACGGTCAAAGACCGAGCAAGGTTATATGCAGTTGCTGCCTCTCAGCTCTGGGATATCTCTGTAGGTGAAATTCATGGCAGGATTGAGCAGTAAAAGCTGTTTTGGACCGAGTCTGCACGGATCACACCAAACATGCGACCTATCGGCTTAGCTGCTAGGCTCTGCTCCCTTGCCAGCTATCTTTGGTTTGCCAGCTGAGGATTCTATGATGATCCTTGAGGGGGGTGGAGGCAAGTCGCAAGGGAACTGTAATCTTCTTGCTCTGCTACTTTCCATGCCCTTCAGTGATGCCGGGAGCCGGGGTATGATATCACTACGGTCCGCATCACTAAACGGTGCACGAGACAACAGAGCAAGTAGAGCTTGAAGATGATCAGAACAGCCCCACTGGACCACAGGGAAAGGATCCACTCCGGCTCTCCCAAAGGTAGGGAGGCATGGAAAGGTGTTTTTAAATCACTTTTTTTTTTTTTTTTTCTGGCGGTGAGACAGGCTGAAATAATCTTGATGTAAAGCTTTGATAGATTTAAAAAATAATAAATAAAATGCTGCCATTTTGTAGTATGGAAGCACCAAAAAGAAAATTCTGGGCCAAAGCCGAAAATTCAAGATGCCCTTGGCCGAAAATGATTATTTTTTTTTTTTTCAAATGATTTTAAAATACTTTTTTTCTATAATATTTTATTAATATTAGACTTTTTAATGAATCTAATATGAATTTAAAAAAATTATACAGATATATAAAAAAAATGAATAGAAGTAAAACTAAAAATGGTCGGTCCACAATGTGTAGCATAGGGGTAAACACACTATATATGTGTATAGATGACACACAATCGTCACGTGAACCAGGGACTGTTGATATTAATTTCTATTATTAATAAACTAGGGACTGGCCCCAGGAGCTGGCACTCCTTTCCTATCCGGATATTACAGCTATAGATAGCACTCCCAAGCAACCAAGTCCTGCTGAATCTTCAGAGTAGAGGTATCATCTCTGGAAGATTGCCCACCCCACTCCATGGTCATCAACTTATTTATAGATAGTGCACATCAGCAGGTTTCCTTAACACACCAATCAAGTCATTAAACCACTCCTCATCTGAATTCATTTAACACACTGCATCCTTACAGTGGTTTAAACACTCATTGATATTTGTGTGTGTTTGTATATATGAGCTACATATCTATATAATACACATTTTCTCTAATGTTCTCCCTTCTATTTTTCACTTTAACACTAACTTCTGTCATTACTAAAATATCATCTGTCCCTGGCAACACCATCATCATTACTTCCACCTTACTCCCCTCCCCTCTCTATTCATCCCATGCACTCTACACATACCTTTCCAGCCTATCTCCACCAACTCTTTCCAAATCCTCTACATACATACCCTCCTACAAAACTTTCAAATCCTACTCCCACCTTCACTTCCTTTCTATCCTTCTGCTCCTAGCAGCTGGTGATGTCTCTCCAAACCCCGGTCCCCTCTCAACAAACTGAGCACATGCTAACCCAAGGATCCACACTAATCTCATACCCATCTCTTGTTCCTCTAAATCCTCCTTCAATACTGCCCTCTGCAACGCACGCTCTGTTTGCACTATAACTAAATCCACTGCTGTCCATGACTTCATCTCTCGTTCAATAGATTTACTAGCCTTAACAGAAACCTGGCTCTCCCCCTCTGACACTGCCACCCCTGCATCTTTGTCCTTCGGTGGTCTCCAACTTACCCACAACCCAAGAAACTCTGAATGTAAAGGTGGTGGTGTTGGGTTTCTCCTCTCCCCTCACTGCTCTTTTA